AATTTCAAGTGGTTCGGCTCCAAGTTGATTCAATTCAGGTAAGAAACTCAAGCGACTCGGATAGTCTCATTTGCAAGAGTGACCTGGGGTGTTTAGTCTGCCCACTTTATATGGCCTTAAAGTGCACATTGCCAGGCACAAGCGCTGTGGTGACATCACTGCCAGTTAGTGGTGAATGGCGGTTGTTGTTGTTACAGTCCCAACAGAGTAATGTTAAATAAAGGACAGCAGACGTATTTTGCCTTGACAACCGTGCATAACAGGTTGTTCTGGGCTCCGGGGTATTGTGCCGAGCATGAGGGGGCAGTGTAGATAGCTCATGGACACATTTCGAACCTGCCAGCCTCCACCAACCGGCGCTGACCAGAGCGGTGAAGTCTGATGAATTAACCCCCACGACCCTCGTGGTGTGGGGGGAGGCCATCATCCAGCAGTGGATTGACCAAAACGCTGAGCGTGTGCATGGATGTACAGGAAAAGTCAAAAGGAGATTCCACATTCCAATGGCGGGGACCAGTCCATCAACATTGAGCACCGGGGTCAACATGTTTGGTACGTACACACGGGGCGCGTCTACGACCAAAGTACCCGCAACGTGCACGATCTCATCAGATCTCACAAAGCTAAGTGGGAGGGAGCTTAGGTTAGTGCTTGGGATGGGTGACCGCCAGCGGCGCGCTTGCCAAGGGTGTTGTGGGCGTGAGGCTGCTAGCATGGCCAGGCGATGACAGCGCTGCGAGCGCCACCCGTTACGCGTGCGAGCATTTTCTCCAATTGCTTTTCTGAACGGTCAACATAGTCCGATTTGCATTTAGTTGCAGATCCACGCGCTCCTCTTTCTGTCTGCCGGTGGAACTCCGAAGCGTGCAGCTCTCCGCGCTTCCATGCTCACTTCGTGGCTCTCGTTCCACTTTATTTCTCAGCGGGCGTTGCGTCCGACAGCTGCCGGCATGCACGAATTAAGAACCGTTTCGCCGTCCTGCGCGTACAACAATACGGGCGGGCTCCAATCGTGCACTTGCGTCAAAAGGCCACGGTAGCGAGACACGGGCCCGGCCACGCGAGTACGGCCGGGGCGACGGCGGCACGAACGCCACAGCGCCTCCAAAAATGCGGGTCAGAGGTGACAGCTGTCCATCAGGACTCGCAAACAAGAGAGTTGTGTTTACGGAGGGGCTGAGCCTACGCTGGCACACAAGCCCGCACCTACAGCGCCAGCGTGCCTCCTGGCTACCCCATCTTGTTTTGGGTTCCTCTTTGGGGGGTGCTGTGTGCGATGAAGGAGAGGGAGTGGCGAGGGAACGTGCGCGGGAATTTGTCAGTTTTTGTTCGCGTTTCCCTAAACCTCCCAGCTTCTGTCATTCAGACGAACTGCACCACTCCTCAGTGTTTCTGGATCTGAAACTTAAGAGGCTGTTTTTCAAAACCGTAACCGAAGCTTCAATTAAATGAGTTTAACCGAGTCAGGGGTCCGAGTAATAAAATGATAATGAAAGGTGGCTTTTAACAAAACACACTGCAAAGGAATTATCCTTATTGTGGTTCAATCGCTGACTAGCCCCTTTTCTCGTAGCCTTCAAACTTACTTTCTAATACATTAAGATAAAAAGCAAGTCTTTCACAAAAGAGACACTGTGACAAGCTGGGCAGCCCGTGTGATCAGCCAGCACGTTCTCAACAAGATTATTCCATCACTTGGAATATTCGATGGGGGAGAGCCAATTGCTTTTGCAAACATCAACTGCTTCATTTGGGAATTATCCGAATCATTAACGACGCAATCCCTGACACTTTAATTACCCCCCAGGGAAGCCCAGCAGGTGTTATATAAATACTCATGTTTAGCCCAGGAGTTAATTGATTCATTAACTAATTAATGTCACCTCTGCCCCTGGCAGCCCCCCCTCGCCCCCCACCACTTTCTCCTGACCATCACATCCCACCGCACAATTTGCGTTCGTTAAGAAAAACGTCGTGATTGATTTATTTGAATATAATTTTACGGTATTTCTACATACGTGACTTTACCTGTCCATCACTTCGTTAGCGCTTCCCCTCGCCGCTAACGAGCAGAGCACACCGCCCCCCCGCCCCCACGACCCTAATTGCCAGCCCGCGGCCTCGCTTATCGGCAGCAAGGCTCGTCCATCGCAAGGAGTCGCTCGGCGTGGGAGCAAGCGGGAGGGTGAGCAGGTGGGCGAGTGAGCAAGAAACGACGCCCGACCAGAATGGCGGCGCTGTGGGGAGAGTATGCGGGGAGACGGGGGGTGCGCGGCGGCTGCCTAGGAAGGGCCCGGTTATGACCGGCCTCCGCTGACGACACTTTCTCCCGTGGCTCCCGGCTACGGTGGGATCCCTGCGGAGAATGCTAACGGCCTCCCAGGTGCCAGAGCGACCGCTCCGCATGGGGCCCGTGGGGGGCAGTGGCTCCAATCAACGGGGAGGCACAGGATGGAATTTAAGATCTCCATAAAATAAACTAAGGTGGAGGTCGAGGGAGGGCATTGTTTTCTAAAACTGCGATGGCGCAAATTCTCTCCCGCGCTGAGCGTGCTCGCAACGGACGTTGCAGCGTGAAAAAAGACACCGTGGGCGTCGATGCCGACTTGATTACAGATTTTGCCCGTTCTGTTTTTAAGTTTAAATTGTGACTGGGTCTCCCCTACCCCCCTTGCATCTCCTCCCTCCGTGGCATGGCCACCATGTGGCCCCAAAAGCACCCTCAGCCCAGCTCACATGTTAAACAAACCCCCATACCCCCCCACCCCCCTGCTATTAGCCGATTGGGAAGGTAATTGTAATTCAAATGTTTTAAATGTCAATTACTGGACCACGGCCTTCAATTGGCTTTTGCGATGGCTACACCCACCAGACCATTGGGCTTCTCCATGCCTCCCTCCCTCTCTCCCTCCCCTGGGGCTCACTCTCCCCTCTAGCACCTCTCCCTCCCGCTGCTCTTCACGCAACTCGCATACATTTAGTCCCTCGCCCGCTGAAGCTGGATCGCGTGGGCGCGAATAAGCCATCGCTAAAAATACATTATTAGCTCGCGAACTGAAAATTTACGAAACCGCACCCCCCTCCCACCCCCCCTGTCTCACACACACACACACACCTTTTCACGTAAACGCCTGTCAATCTGGCCACTTGTTTTACCCACCCACCGTGGATTGTTCGCCAGGTCACACGGTGTAAATTAGCTGCACTGGAAGCAGCAGGCCCGCACCCTCAACGGCACTCATTACCCCCCAAAGCAAACAGGGGCGAGAGGGCCCGCAGTGAAAACAAGGACGCATCACGGCCACCCTCCAAACGCACTTCACGGCAGGCAGGCAGCCACCCTTCCCCCCCTTCCCCCCCGCGGCCCACGCTGGGTGGGCGGCAACGGGAGCCCACCCAGGTGTAATGTACCTGGGGGTGGGAGGGGGTGCGGGGCTGCCTAATGATATTTTGTACACACACACTGTGTGTATGCGTGCGTGCGTAAGTGTCTGCCGAGTGTAAAGCATGTGGGGGTTGTGTGTGCCGGAGCAAGTGGTAGAGAGTGCCTTGTGCGTGTGCGTGTTTTCACACTTGAGCGTGGGTGTGTGCATGTCCGTTTGCCTGTGCGTGCAAGAAATGGTCGTGGAGTGGTTAGCGCACTACACTACGCACTCATTTAGCTCACGAGCATTAACTGGATCTGGGCCTCACTTAGGTCGACTTAGCCTTGAAGGAGTACCTGGTACCATGTTAAACATGACCAATGCGGAGACAAAGGGACAAAGGGCGCGGTGCTGGCCACCTAACCCCCCCCCCCCCCCCCCCCCCCCCCCGTGTGCTGTGCCTGCCCTAATCTGTGCTCGCGAACAGAACTTGCTCCAACAGCATGTTAAAGGCTATAGAGCGGATGTTTGTTGTTGTGTGTGTGCATGTCTGTCTGTGTGTGTGTGTGCGTGCACGTGCTGTGCACCACAATCCCAACGACTCAGGTTTGATTTCTGTCCGAGAATACTGGACACCACCCGTCGCTATTGGTATCTGAGCCTGGCTAGGATCAACCCAAAGCCAACTCGGTACATCGAGCGTGATCATTGCCAGCCGCAATGAAACAAAGACAGCGGGATGCAAGCGGTGCCGACTACACTTCCCGATCGTGCACCACGCAGGCGTTTACGGGTGCTCGCTAACAATGCCCGTCCCAACAGGCTGCATGACCTCAACGCGGAGTATCCGCACATGCACGTGAGTGTTTCTTTATTTATTCTTTAGGATCGAGTCTCTGTGGCCCCGGTGCATTGTGCGCATGGCGGCACTGAGCGGCCGTTGGTGTAACCAACGCCTACCCACCCACCCCGCACACTCCGCTCTCCGCGCCCGAGTCGCCGTTCCAGGCTCGCGCCTCTCATACGACCACGCGCTCGCTCGGAGTTCTCTCTCGCCATGCGCGCGACTCTCTCTCCCGTGACGGTAAAAGCAGCAACGGCAAAGGAAAAGGAGCGGAGTCGCTCGTCGCTATATTTGGTATTTGCGCGAGCAGGGGGCCCGACAGCGGCCAATGAGACTTTCGGATGTCGAGCTCCACACGTCACTGCGGTGGCATCCGCTTGGTGGAGAAAACCACGGCTTTAATATCTTAGCCTGATAGACGTAAATCGCACACGCCTAAAGGATCACACGCAGACACATACAAACCCAACACAATGCTCAGATCTCCGCGCCTTGTGCCGAATCCTCTTCTGAATATCCTTCTGCCTTGTACTCTCTGCCACCGTGCTCTTTTCCCATATTCTGGCTTCCTGCGCACCCTTGCCCACACGTTTCCCTGCGCACCCTTGTCCACACGTTTCCCTGCGCACCCTTGCCCACACGTTTCCCTGCGCCTCCTTTGCTCGCCGATCCCCTGTTCTCCCGAGCTGCTGTCGCACCCTCGACATATTCACTCACACCTTGTTCACTTTGTTCACTCGCACTTTGTTGTTGTGCCCCGCGTCCCTTGCACCCCTGCGTCCCCCGCGTACCGGTCTCCATGAGGAAGCGCAGGCGTTTCTCGACGCGGGCGGCGCGCGTGTCGATCTGCCTCTGCTCGCACTCCAGCGCCGACAGCTCCCCGACCACGTACTGACTCGTGTCTAGGAACTCCTGCAAGCGGGGAGCATTCCGTGCGGTGACCGTCACGCGCATGTGCGTGCGTGCAACACGATGGCGCGCATGACGTTTACACGGGCACGTGGTCATACGAGGGGTGTCCGGGAAGAAGCCGATCACCCACGGTGGGTTTTGTTGAGAGTTGTCGGATTAAGTGAATAAAAAAAGTCAACTAATAAGTTCATTGTACAGAAATCTCGGTGGGAGATGATACATAAAAAAACACTTTAAAAACATCATACGTGCATTGTTACCAATATCAATGTGCTATGTTGAGTTATCTTAGATAAACTATAGCAGCATGGGGGGTTATCAAGTTTTTTTAAAAAATTCAGAACACCCCACATGTGAGAATAACTCCCAAGCCAAACTTGCTGGATAGCCGCTGACATCTTACAAAACATGACTTGAGCTGGCCAGGAAGTTCAGGGGGGACGACCGCGATGCAAGAGCACGGGGCCAGCGTGGCCGCCGAGATCCTGGGTTCTAATCCATGTCCCCCCACCCTGCCATGATCAACCGCGGTTCTCAAGCCCAGCAAAGCTGACGGTCTCCGCCACAGAACTGCGCCAAGCAAAAATCACACGGACATTGTTTCGCATTTGCTCAATTCGGTTTTACCGACAGGCAACGAACACTGCTTGCAGTGCATACGCAAGGTGCAGCACGTGACTGGTATTGGCAAAAGGCAAATGACGCGACTCCAGAAGCAGCCCTGTGGACGTCACCTTCTAAAGCTGCGGGGGATTTCAAGAGAAATCCCTTCATCTCGCGGCACGTAGCCAGCGGCGCAGCTTGAATCTAATTGGGAATAACATCCAACGGTTGCTGAAACGGAAGCCGTTGACAGGAGGTACGTGAAGGAGGTTTCGCGTACTCGCCAGCAGGTGCGATACAAGCGACACAGCAGCTGCTCTCTCTCGCAAGGGAGACGGAGCTGGATCATCACGGCGGAGGGTACGCAAACTCACACAGGAGTCACGCTCGCAGCCATGCCTGCCTGCCGGTGGGGCCAGCAGCTGGAGACACGCGCACACACACACGCGCACACGCACACACGCACACGCACACACACACGCACGCACGCACACACACACTCACACACGGCGATGCGAGACCTCACCTCCTCCTCCGACGGCTGCCGCCCCATGGGGGCCGCTCCATCTCTGTCCCGCGACCGCTCCCTCCGCTCCTCGCTCGGCGACTTCTGTCTCCTCGGCTCTGCGGACGACGTGGTTCGTGACCCTCGGTGTTTCGTCAGCACGCCAACCGCTCACCGCAGGAACATTTCATGAATTAAACCAAAGTTTCTCCGCACTCAAGCTGTCGGGAAGCAGTACTACTCATCTTCACTGGCAGTGCTGAACCAGCAGTGTAAATTCCACATTCGTATTCTGTTATGTAAAAACAAATGCACCGCTATTATGCGTGTCCTGTACTGCTTTTTCTAATCTGGGGCTCCCTTGAAAACAGACCTTTATTCTCAATGGGCTCACACCTGACTTGACGTAAAAATTCGATCGATTAATTGATAAATAATGCACCAGTCATTTCATAGGGCAGCCAGGGTTGACTTCCCACAAAATGGAACTCAATTCACCAACGCACACACAGAATTAAGGGCCGAGTTGACCTCCAACCAGTGTTTGAACCCCCGTCCTTCCGATTGCAAATTAAATACTCTGCCAGAGCAGAGCCTCGGTCAGGCTGAAGAGTTTTCATTAAGAGAGTCCCGCTCGGGAAGCGTGACCTATTACTAACAAAGCACGGTGCCTGCTGTAAGCCCGCGACGTCGCTACGTGTGCGGTGAGACGGGTCCGGCACCTGGTTTCCCCTCCACCAGTTGCGTGAAGGACTGCAGCTGCGTCTTCCTGACCGTAGAGTCGCGGTTGAAGAGCGGGGCGCCCCGCAGACGACGCAGCCCCTCCGCGCCGCCCTCCTGCCGAGGCAGCAATGGTCGCGCCGTTTAAAACGACCGTCGCGTCCCGACAATGACGCAGGCGTCGCGTCGCGACGACGCCCGACGTTCGTCAGCGCCGACGCCACGCGCACGAAAATGCCCACGGGTAAAGTAAAGCGAGCAGCGGAGAACAAACACGCGGACGCATTCACGGGTGTGCACGCGCGTTCACTGCGACGTGCGTCGTCACAGCGGCTGAGGACGTGTGCTTTGGGCCGCTGGGTCTCGTCGGCGAGATCCAGCTACCCGTGTGGTCTACTGGCCAAACGTACGTATGGGGGGGTTGTTCCTCCACCGACCTGGAGCTTACCGCTACACGTCCGTGCGAACGCACGCACAGACGCACGCACCAATAAAAACAAACGCGGGTACGCGTGATTGTCTGCGTACGCGTGCATGTTTGGAGAAGCGTGCGCGTACGCGTAGCGACGCGCCCACCCACACGCGCGCTGCCGCGTGGCGACGGCGTCATTGCCCGCACGGTGATCGCCAAGCGCCGATCCGGTTACGGAGCCGCCGTCGGGGAGGCCAAGGTCAAGAAGGAAGCGCTCGTGTTTGTACAACGCAGACGCACAGACGCGCAAGCACAAATAAACACGCGCCGTCACAGTCACACCGCACGCATACCCACCGATCCCCCAAATAGCCATGAAGACTGCTTGGGCAGGCGCTGTTAGCGAGTCCCTATTGTAGCGTGTAAGGAACGTGAAGGAGTAGTGTGCTCAGCACCACCTTTGTCTCTCCAGCTGTTGTTTAGGCACAGTAGACGTGTGATCATTTAAGGCTGAAGGCATCTGGGAGAGGCCCAGCAAACTTTCAAATGCCACATCCCACTGACATTAGCTGTGGCCAGTAATGAAACCAAGTTCAGCGTTGTCAGCAGGGTCAGCGTGTTGCACGAGCCACTGTGCCACCACCTTACCCTGTAGGCAAAAAACAGAAAGATCCCCCATATAGCCTTCAAACGACTCTTGGGGCAAGTGCTGTTAGCAAGCACCTATGAAAGCCGGCAAGGCACACTAAGTGGTGGGTGGGCCAGCACCACGCCTGTATGCGCGCGCAGACACACACAGCCTCACGTGCACTGGATTATCCAGGCCACACGAGAAAAGAATATTTGTGTTAAATAAAACATGGGCGAATTACAAGTGTGAGTTATTCATGACCTGCAGTGTGTCCCGGGCCACGATGTTTCCTGTAGCGGGACGGCGAGATATTTCCACGCAGCCCAGCGCAATATCTTCCCTCTCAAACAAGCAATCGCATTCATCAGCCACTATCTGTCTACTGCTGGATGAAGGAAAACCCAAGCCGTCACACCATATCTCACTGTCTTGCGATAGGATATAATTTCCAAACGAGCTATGATAAAATCTGGAAAAATACTACATCAGTTGCATAATTTAAATAATAACGTTTGACTGAAAGAAGACAAAAGGTTTTGAATAATGTGCAAATATCGAGAAGTGTTGATTTCACTTGAATCTTAAACCTCTTAACAGCATGAATAATTTCCACGTTTAACCTTTAACAATTTATAATTAATTCATATCGTCTGACTTTGAGCCACGCTTGTCTGTGCTAATAATGACCAAACACAAGGAATTAGATAGAAACCTGAATACATAAAACACACGTGTGTTTTAGCAGAGTACACGCACATTACCCGCATGCAATCCGTACAGATCACCCCTGAAGCCAAAACAGATTATTTGGGTACGTGCTGTTAGTGAGCACAAACTTTACATTATCTGTGACGAGTACCATGCCCGACCGCCTTCGTCTCCCCAGTGTTACACTAATTACTCGTTTGAGGCGGAGCTGAACGAGGGGAGGCTCAGGACAGGTTCAGATATTGTTGGGATAAGTGCTGTTGGTGAGCACCTATTAAGACCTGTATGGCAGGTCTTAATAACTTGGGCCACTGGTTTGGGAGTGCTAATCACTATGCTTTCACTCCCCACCAAACATACAAAGATCCCTGTGTAGTCTTAACAGACTGTTGGAGCAAGTGCTGCTAGTGAGCACCTATGAAGGCCGACATGGCACACGAGGGGCTGGGTGGCCAGCACCATGCCCGTTCGCCTTTGTCTCCCCGAGTCACCTCGCTGGGGAGGAGGGGGCACCGCTGGGGGCCACTGCCGCCGGCGGGAGAGAAACGCCGGGGCGTGACGACCGGCACAGACGTCGCACTTTATCGCGCGCCGCAGCCCCGCCAGCGTGCAGCCCGACGCCCTGGCATACGCACAATGGCCTAATGAACTTGGGAGCAGGGCTGCCGGGGACGATGACGGGCGCCAGCGGAGGGGATACGGCGAGCAAGCGAGGGGAACAGTGGGGGAGGAGCTGGGTGTGAACCGGGAAGTTCTGTTGGGAGGGGATGAGAGGGGAGGGAGCGGCGATGTGCGCAGAGCTTTTTGTCAAAACAAATTTTAAAAAGGAGAATGTTTTTTGACCCGTCAGGCATGCCCGCCCACCCTCCCTCTGCCCGCCGAGTTTGCGTAACGAGGTGGGATGGGCCGCGCGCGGTGGTTGCCAATGCGACACGCGCCGGCCCTGTTAACAGTGGGGCTCCTCGCCCTAGACGCCGCTGCGTTTCTGCCACCGCGGCGGCTTCCCCCGTCCGCCGGGGACCGGTTTTGTTTTAATCCCAGTGCCGTTTTGTTGCAGCCAAGCAGAGGAAAAAAGAAAAAATCTCGCGTGGCAATCGCGTGCGCCACTTTGCATCTGCCGAGCCGAATTTGGCATCATCAGTAACCGGAAAATTTTATCACAATAACGCTCTTTCATTTTGCTGGATAGTGTTTGTGAAATCAGTGCTCCGTGCACCATTATATGGTGGCCTAATGCAAAAATCACTGATATAACAAGTCTGTTTAATTAAAACACACAATTTCACGGCTTAACAATCATTGGCTATGCACTACAGACCTCGGTGCACTAAGAAATTTCAGGATGGTCGATGACGTGTCCTCCCATGGACGATAGTTTGCATCGTTACTGCGGTTGCATGCTGCCGCACTCGTGTGAGCCGGCTATGATTTTTGGTTCAATTGCAAACCAACAGTCATCCAATCAGTGAGCCACATGACCTCACATTGTGTGTGTGTGTGCATCTACCTGTCCAGTGCAAAAATTTGCACTCTTGTAAACCAGACTCATACCGGTCTCTTGTGGAGTCCATCTAAGCAGCAGAGAACCCTCGGTTACACGGATCTGTACGCCGTTGTGGATTCCGTGCGGCGGTGGTGCGTGCGGCTTGTGCCGGGCGATTTCTCACCACGCCTTGCTCGTGGCTGCCGTTCTCCGTGCCAGGCCGCTGCTGCTGTGGTGATGTCGACACGGCCGAGGATAGAGACCCCGAGCCCCGGCTCCGTGACTCAGACGCTCGTCCGACCGCAGCCTCGCTCGTCCCACCTGCGGTCGTCACAAGTCCAAACGAACGAAGCGCCCATCTCACGTGGTGCCACGGGGCGGGCAAGCAGAGCGAACGCGGGGAAGAAAGCGTTGCCCTGGCCGGCACCGATTTCTAGCCCCGCAATGCCACACGGGAGGGTACGGCCTGAATCTGCGTCTGGCCACCTGGCCTCGTGACAGACTGCACCAATTACTTGATCCAGAGTTGTGAGGGTCGCCACATATTAGAGGTGGATTTTTCACAATTGTATTACATTTTTCAGGGTGTGATTATTTAAAATCGTGGAGAAATTCGGGTGTGGGAATCCAACCCACGTTGGTTGGATGCTTAGGGCTGAGACACAGCGGGGGACTTCAGGTAAACGCTCCCTCTCCCTTCTGGCATGGGACATTTTGAAATCACGTTTGACCATTCGCCACCTCGCAGAGCACACACAGCAAAACCATGCCTCAAAAAGCACGACACATCATGGCAGCGGCACTCTCGGAGCATCGCGATGACCGCGCCGGCGTCTTCACGCGAGGTGAACGCAGACAAACGGCGGTTAGCTCTGGTCAGTATTCGCGGCGTTGCAAACGAGGCTTTAGGTTGATTGGTGGAAAGCTACGAATGATTAGCGTTTGACAATTTCATCATTGAGGAGAAAGGCCAAATGGGAGATTAAGTGTTCAACACTGCTAATCGGTGTGTGTAGCCATCTTAAACATCCGGCTCATACCTGGCTCAATGCGAGCCTTACCTAGGTTATACAACTGCCTGCATCGAATAAAACAAAGCATGAGAAAAAAATGTTATCAATCCGGATGGGATTTTTTTTGTTCGCGACTTTCTCCACAACGTGTTCCCATGGTGCAACTGGTACGAGAAAGGCTAAGAAGGCTAAGTTATTCCGCTCGTCTTTAGCTTCCAGCAGCTTTGGCAGCAGCTCAAATTGGAACTCCTGGCCGAAATATTGTCGGATGTTTTCCCGGTTTAAACCCACAAAACGTACAGTCCAAAGGGACCGCAGCGAGCGATGTGCCAACCCCTCCCCCTACCTCTGCCATCCCCCCCCCCTCCCCGCTTACGAACAGGCACCTCGGGTTGCAGCAACGCGTGCGTGCGTGCGTTGTGTCGTATGTGCCGCAGAGTTATGCCACCGTCTTCACCACCTTTGTGCCGACCGATAGAGTCATCCTGCCCTGCCAAGGCGCCTCACTTCTGGCTGACTGAACATTAGGCATTTTACAGCGAACGCTAAGGATCCAAGGCTACCTTTCCCACTCCAACAAGCCGGGAGAAAGGTACGGTGAAAACCAAGGCAAACACCTCTGAGTGTAAACAATTTGGCACTCTACGTCCCTAATAACTGGTGAGCCAGTGTCGTGAGTGTGCGAAACAAGGTCGCCTTCACCGCCACCTTCCCCCACGCACGGCCCCCGGTGCTCTATGTGGCACTCACGACGGCCGAGCCGGCGTCGGCACCGAATTGAAAGACGAGAGCGAAAGGGAGAGAGGAAAGCGAGGACAGAATAGTAGACACGTGACCATTAATTCGAGTCGTTGCATGCATTCCGTAGCTCCAGCGGGCGACCTGCTGGTTGCGAACGGAGTCGCCGGGCGCCTTTCGTCCCCCCCATGCCCTCACCTCTGTTGCTCCTTTTCTTCCGTTAGTTCTCCTGTTTGCCCTTATTGTTTGCCCAGCTGCTTATGATGCTTTAGTGTCTCTGTAGGCAATTTTAGATCCAAGGCTATTGAGTGCTCAAAAAAAGTAGGGATTTAACAGCTGTAAAATCGACTCTTACACTCATGATATGCGCATCGAATGATGCGTTCAAATATTAACTATTTCATTGACAGTATTAAGCGTGTGATTTGCGGGGCGTGGAACGATGCTTCGACTCATGACACGTGCATCAAATCCCGAGATTATGCGAGTGAAAATCTATGATAATTTATGGGAAGTATTTGCGAATTATATATAATAATTTATTAAGCCTACCTGGGAAAGTCTCACTGAGTCTCAGGCTCTTTTTCAGGAGGTTCCTGTCATATACTAATTCTGTCTGCGGGATCGAATGTTGACCTCGAATCATGACAACCCAACGAGTCGTGGAGGGGGTAAATCGGTCGCACATCGGTGGCATGGCTATCCAGCGAGCGTGCAGGGGGTGCAGCTGTCATGGGGGAGGCTCGTGAAGGACGTCAGTTGGAGGCAGTCGCTCTACAACAGAGGGCAGAGGAGCGATGCCCACAGCTGGTGCATTGGCCAGTCATAGCACCTGGGTCTGACCCGTGACCTCCTGTCAGCGAGCCTTCGACACTACACGTAGCCTCAAAGTGTACCTGGCTTGGCACAGGCGCTGTGGTGAAGTCACCGTCTCTTAGTGGCGAATGGTGGGTATTGGTATTGGCTGTCATGGGCTCACAGGCTGGGGGGGGCGTAGTTGCCAGAGTACTGGGGGGGGGGGCACGCGCCAGGAGCCCACGCCCAAGGAAATAAGTGGCATGGTTTTTCAACGCTCGCCGGCTGATGAGAGCAATTGGAGAGCACGAACCCAAGCGGCTCGGCTCGGATGGAGCCGCCCCGGGGGTGCCGCTCATTGGTGGAAGGAGGCGGCGGTCTCGCCGCCTGCTTGCGCCCCTCCGCAGTGCGGCTGTTCAATGTCAGAGCCTCCGGGGACAGCGGCGCGGAGCTGGGGAGGATTACGGACGTTGACCTTGCGCCTCCGTTTAACCTGCCTCTTTCACTCGCACTTTTGTTTACCTGCCTTCGTTCACCTGCCTCGTGGACCCACACACGCAGGGGTCTCGCACAGCTGCCGAGTGCGAAACCGTTGCCGTGCTCGTGAAAGGCACGCATTTGGGCTTGGAGCTAACGAATGACAAATGACCGAACGAATTTTTATTCGGTGGCGAGGGTCAGCCATTCACAGTAGGAAATCGGCAGAGAGGACACAGCCAACTCTAACGAACATGGTGCGAATGTGAAAACAAGTTTTCAACATAGTTCACTCGAACAAATTAAGTATGAGATCTCGAGCCATCTAATGCAAGAGCTCGAAAATCTGGGGCTTGTGTTTTAAAAATCGCCAGGGTCAGCATGCACGAGTGCGTGCTCGACAGTGCGTGACGAGGCTCGCACCATCAGGACAGCGCCGTAACCACGCCACGCCCCGAGCGCTAGCACTGCAGCTAAAGTGTAGTTGTCACGCAGCCAATTGCGCGCTGTCTTTGAACACCACTTATCCCATTTATTCATCTTCCACTGCAGCTCGTTTAGACGACAGGCATTTATTACGGGGACATTTATTCGTCAAATCATCTGTGCTTCTTCTTGACCGGGCCACTGTCCGACACTTTGGAGTAACACACTAATAATGCTTTGGCTGTGTTGCTGATGACTCAAGGCATCTTTCAACTCTATCAGATAACCAGATTCGTCCAAGGTTTACAATTTAAGTACTGTTTTTGTTGCCACTGCTGAAATTCCTCGCAAGTCATCCTCCGTGCGCACGGTCAGCGAGAGCGATCAGACCATCGAGAATCACGTGACCATTCGAACCCAGCCTTTTAAGAAGGGTGGTGTCTGAGAAATCAATGTGCTAGTGACTTCAGATTGAAACGAGGCACAGGAGAAACTGCAGAGGGCTGGGGGCAAGACCCCAAAGTATGTGCCCAGTGCAAAATAAGCCGACTGTGGAAATTGTTCCGATTTGTGGGGGGGCAGGGGTTGAAAGACTGAGGGCATATCCATTCATGAGTATAATTGCTGCCCGAGGATGGAGGGAAGCGCCCGACATGTCGGATCGTGCTCCGCGTCATCGTAAATTGCAAGGCCCTCACGCGGAGCACCTCACCGGCTGCCCAGGTGCCGCCGCCGCCACCGCCATCACCACTATATCCCAATTGGACAAATCCCGTAATGACAGCGGGCCCAGACGACGCCCCCAAAAGCTGCAATTTAACCCCCGCCCCGCGACCGCCGCTTCAGACATTTTAGCAGGGCGCTCACGCCCTTTCGATGCCCTCCGGCCGCAGCGAGCTCGCCGGCGCGTGGCGGCGACACGAGTCGTGGAGAAACAGCGCATGCCAAACGACAGCAGTCACACCGCGGCATGCCAGCATTCTCTTGGGTTACGCATTCGTTTGGCAGTTTTACCGGAGGCGGCAAGGGCACCGGGAGGACTAGAGAGCAGCTCCATCATATAGGCCAGCGCCCGGGCGTCATCGGTGTCCAAGTCGCCCTCCTCTGCAAGGAACAGCACCGGGTTCCTCACGGCAGCCACGCCACTCCGTGACGCCGGCGATCGGCACCATTTACCGCCAACGGAGGAGACCGGATGCCGTCTACCGTCATCCCCCCGCCATGCTTCCGCCTCTAACCAACACCTTTGCCTCCTTCACATGCCGCATGCGCGGACGCGAAGGCTGCTGGCGCCGCGCCGTCACAACAGCTTAATCCGGAGCTCGGAAACTTGGCACGCCGCTGAATGCGCGCGCCAAGCAGAGCTCAAAAATCGCGCGCACACACACGCGCGCGCGGCAACGGGGGGGGCATTCGCGGCGTTGCGCCGGCAGCCAAGCCAGGGGCCTCGGGATTTTAATAAAGCACCGCTCCGAGTGTTGTTACCACGGCACTGCAGGCCACGCTTAAGGCATCATCGCCATCCGCGGGCGAGCGGCCCACTGTCCGGCCCGATACATTCCGCACCACGGAACGTGCACGTTTTGATTTGCGCCACGCGAGCATCTCGCTAGGATTCCGTGCGCCGTGGAGGTGCGGGCGGGCGGGCGTCAGCAGCTGGCTATAAGCGAGCGACGATTTACACGATGGGAATAAAATCAGAAACTAAAAAAAGTCAACCGAGGTACTGGCCAGGGTTCGCTAACGAATCCAATTACAGCACGGCCAAATTTTATGAATCCAAGTGGAAAAACTACATTTCACAGCATTCTTACAAAGTGAACAACGACATTGAGCTAAACAAGGCGGGCAACACGAGCCGGCACAGTGCAGCATCTCCCAGTGTCCACACGCTCCGTTAATTCCCTGCCGAGTGCACGCAGGCGCGAGGCGACACCACGTCGTGACGCAAATGAATACATACGTTTTGTAGGGGCTCGCCAAGTGCTCACAAAGCTATTTTAAATGACATTTTTTTAGGCAGATACTAACAATTAAAATTTAGAAGGTGGCAATGGCCACAGTACATTTTCCACAATTCAGGGCAATAACTTCAGAAATTAACGTTCGCTTGCCGCAGATTTCATCGCTCGTTATTATGTTTTTTTACAAACAAGGAGACGTGGATGACACATGTGGAGGGATTGCTGGCTGGTGGCTCCCAATGGCCAACTTGTTCACAGCCCTGAGCCAAAGGCTGCAATTCCACATTTCTAGTGAGGAGCCAGTTAATCCCTAAGACGCCAAGTTTACTTTCAAGCATCTATAGAACTCAACTTATAAAATATTATTAAACTGATGAGTGACGAGCCGAGTTTACCGTTCACTTGGAACTCAAGCTACTTCGCTCCCACTCGTCAGAGCTGGTCTATGAACCACATGAACAACAGTGTTCCTAATCTCTCCAGATCTCAGAATCCAAACAGGACTGAGTTTGGTTAACTACTTTGATGGGAGACTGCCGGGGAACAGTAGGTGTTGTAGTATGCTGGGGCAACATGGCGGTGGAGGGTTTTGTCTAAATACTCGCATTTCAAACATTAGTAGAAAGGGCATTGTGATCATGATTGGGTTGGAGCAGTGGCAATGCGATAAACGCACTGCACTATGAACCTGGGAACACAAGTTTGATTCCCGGCCACAGCTAACATCAGGGGCAAACAATATCCGAACCGGCCCTGAGTCCTTCCCCTTCAACCCATACGACTAACCAGCGTGAAGTACGGTTTACAACCCCACACACGCTCCTGACACGTCATTGAAGGCCTTCAACCAGTAGTGGGCTTTGCGACGCTCTGTGAAGTCGCTCTGACCGTGCCGACTCTCAAACGACGCGTCTGCGATCCCTCTGTAAGTCCATGTGCACCAACGACCACATCCCTCGCCGCTCAGCCGTGACCGGCGGACGGCGAGAGACGGAGTGCGCCGACTCACCCGAGACGGTCCTGGACCTCGTCATGGACGACGACGACGACGACGACTTGACCCCGATGCGCGCCTCCGCGATCAACTGACGGGCGCGTTCGCGCAACTGCCGCTGCCGCTCCTCGTCCGTCTGGGGGGGTTAGTGGGGGGGGGGGGCGACAAGAGAACCCAAAGGTGAGCCCTCGCCCTGCCCTCGCCCGTGGGCCACCGCCAAGGTCACCCCGGCCACCCCGGTGGAGCTAACGTCCATCCATTCGATCAACTGTACGTACACCGGGTGAGCACAAGTAGCGGCCAAATTTAATCTTTTCATGGGATGCCCGGGTCACGTGGCGGGCGACGCCACGGTGCGGCACACCGCGACAACGATGGAAGGGACGCCGACGTTTGAACCTCGCTCCTCTGACAGAAACGGGCGAGGCGGCTCCTGCATAGTGGAGGCCACCGTGGCGACGAATGTAACGCAGGAACAAGAAGTGACCTCTTGGCGGCTTGGAGTGCAGTGTGGGGGTCATTCGCTGAATGCGTTACATCGGTCACAGCAGAAGCGACGGAATGATGCTGTTGCACTTAGATGCTGTACAAAACCAGAAGAAATTTGATCATGTTACATAAGTGTTCATCATCTTTATGTTCCCTGCAGCTATATCCAACACAACGGTCATTACTGTTATAACAATTTAATCAAAATATTTGTGTATGACCATAAGTAACGTTTTCGGAAAGCATATTAGTGGCCACATTTGTGGCTCAAATCGGATAGATTTTTGGTGATGTAACCAGCAGATGTTCCTCACTTAACAAATTAAACTATAGGATTTAAGCCCACGTGCATGCGCATTGCCCCACCTGCTAAAAATGTGGCATCTGTAGGTATGAAATCGCCACAGTGCACCATCACATCAAAGTGGACCCTAATAAAAAAGAGACATCTGGTCTCAATTGGCTCTTTCCTGATCATAAACAAAGTTAATCTATCTACCAACAAACTGCCGACTTGACATTTGCACCACGCAAGCCCCCCCCGCCACCACGCCCCGCGACTGCAGCTCGGAGACACTCGCGGGCTCGCTCGCCCCACGCGCTTCAAACAACTCGCGGACGAAGATCGACGGCTGAAGACGTGAACTTCGGAAGCCAGAGTCGAACCTAGGCGGGCGGCAGAGACTTTAAAGTTGCCGAGTCTCTTAAAAACACAAATCCTTTTCCCCCAGCCTGTTTCCTAATCCACCGGTTCTGACAACAGAAGTTTAGGATCCTGTTGGAGGATGAGGGTTAGGGGTGCGGGTGAGCAGGCAAAAGGGGAGTTCAGTGGAAGAGACTGGGTGAGGATTTAAGGTGGGGTAGGGGGCAGGAGGGCGTTAAAGGAATCGCTGAAGCTCAGACTTCTTCAATGGGCGCAACGCGACATCCCAGGATCCACAACCACCTCTTGTTCTTGTATTCATTATTTTATTGTTAGATATTCTTCTCTCTTGCTTATCTGTTTATAGCTGCCTTGTGTGTGTGTTTGTGTTTCTAGTTCTAGGAATGCATGCAGGGGGTCCCGAGGAGCCCGGCCATGGGAAGAAGCAGGGCCACAAATAACAGCAGGCCCACCAGGGGTCAAAGGTGACTTATCCACCACAAAATAGAAGAGGCTTAGCAGTTGTCAGGACTTTCTTAAAAACACAGCCCCGGCTGCCTAATCCAGGGGCATTATGTGTCGCTTCGGAATTATTTAATGTCATAATATTCCAGGAAAATGCGACGGGCACGCCGCGCCGCACCTGTTAAGATTACCCTTGCCGAGGGGGCAGGGGGGCAATGCCAGAAAGTGGAAGTGGAGAGATAACAAAGCGTGGAAAGGAATAAACTAAACGGAATCACGGCACAGAGACAATGAGCGCCCCGAGTGGCGAGAAGCGCTGTCGCGTCCCCGACGACGACGTTCGACGTCCACCGCAGCAAAGCGAAGCAAAATTACGGGTAATTAAATTTGGATTCAAAAAGCGGCCGAATTCGTGGCCCATTATGCGAGGGTCAAGTATTGCTGGCGGAGCGACATTTCCCACAGAGGAAAGGAGTGCGCGGCGGGGGGGGGGGGGGTTGGGGGTGGGTGGGGACGGGGGCACGAGGCCCTGGGCTGGGATTACCCATCTTCCTGGGAGACGGCTCACTAAGCCCCCCCTGCCATGTGAGATTGTCCAGCCCCCTGCACCAGTCGCTAAAAGATTCACCGCACACGCACACGCGACGCACATGCGGGGCGCGTACGTTCGCGGTCGCGTGTATATGCATGGGCGAATACGTACGTACGCGCGTGCCTATGCACGCCAAAGTCTGCGTGCGTGCAGGTGATTATGCACCTGTTATAAAAATTAGCGTTTTATCTCTGAAAAGACATGGGCAATTTTTAAAAAAATATATTTTGCAACTACGCATGTTTTAATATTACAAGAAAGAACAAAAACGATAACCATTTTGAAAATACAATTTTTGCATGGCATGGGGAGGCCGTCATCCAGCAGTGGATTGATAAAAGGGCCGGCACACGTCGAGAGCGACATCGTGGGTTTTACAAAGCTGGCCACCTTTGCACAGGAAGTGCTACTCCATCTGGGAAGAGCTGCCGGGTGGAACATTTGCAGGGGCTCTCAAGCGACGTACCCTGCTTGTTTAGAAGAGGACACTAGGGGCTCTTCCAGCACAGCGAGGGGCACCCCCCCCCCCCGCCTCCCAACTCCACCAGCCACCGCCCCCCTCCCCCCCGCCGACAATCGCTCCACGCACCCTGCAGGATAAACCGCCACGCAATAACGAGCGCCGAGTGATGGCCTCAATTTAAAATGGCTTTGCTGCTGCTGCTACTGCTCCGTTGATCGGCGTGAACCGAAGTAAGTAAAACCTTGGCGGCGAATACTTTCAAGTTCACATTTTTTAAAAGTAATTTCAGTTAAGTCGTCAAAGCATTACGCGACCGTCTCATCTCTCGCCAGTGCTACAAATTGTGCTTAGCGCACGACTTTCCCTCCCTTGCTTCACTGCTCCGCCACAAAAATAACGCTCATTTAGAACGCTCGCAGTCCCCGCCGGTCCTCGCCGCTCTTCATCGCACCCCACGGGCCCTCGCCGCTCCCCCATCGCGCCAACACAACCCCACCCAGCACAGCCACTCGAATCAACATATGATTCACACAATGAGCTAATCCCCTTCCTCCTTCGCGCCTCCCGCTCTCGCACGGTGACGCGGTGGCCCGGCCTCGGCTCCGGCTCCGTGGGACCGCCATCGTGATCACAGGTTTCCTGTGATCACCCATTACGGTAGTCAAGGAGTCACATTTACAAAATGTCTCAATCTTAGATTTTGTTGTTTTCATGTTTCGCTGGCGAGCCGGCTGGCGCTTTGGGCTGGATGGGAAATCATTTAAAATGAGAAATAAATTAAAAGAGTGGAAACTCAAAGTGGAGGCTTGCGGTTGGTGGGTGGGGGTGGTGACTCGGTCACGCACGACGACACAAACTGAGTGCGACACTCCGATTAGGTCCTTCCACCGGCGGCTCGCACTTTCATCTTCTTCACCGCCGCGCGCCCTGCGATTGTTCGTGGGCCCCAACGTGCTGGCAAGGGGGAGTGGGGTGGTGGTGGGGGGGGTAGCAAGACTGCGTCGTTGCTTTTCACATTTTTTTCTTTTGGCGCAGGGCTACGGCGGCCATTGAACAAAAAAAGTTTATGCCATCGGCTCTAACGACCCGGCGAATGAGGAGCCGGAGGTAGAAACGAGAACAGAGAAATACTTCAGTGGCGGGGGGGGGGGGGGTTAACTAATTGCTCTCATCGCCGCTCGCTTCAGGATTCTCCGACACGGCCTCGACGCCGCAGGCATGCCTGTTGTCGCTTCGAAAGTGCGAGGTGCGCGCCTACGCGTGCCCCACCGTCAACCGCGCCGGATGTCTGCCGCTGCGGCAGAGCATCTTGAAATGTTTCTAAGTAAATCAACATCGTCTTGCACCGTGTAAAAATAAAAGCTGCGCACACACACACACACACGTGCTGCTGCTGCTTCCGCCACCAAGCGGCCTGATGTAGAGCATTTCATTTCACAAGATGCCAATCCGAGGCTGCGCCTCAAAAACCGACAAAAAATTTACAATAAAAAAAGTTTTGCATTCCGAACCACACACACACACGTACGAGTAAAACAACAACCATGCCAAGTTACACGTGCCAACAAATTATCCAAAACTCATAGCATGATCAAATGTGCAAGGGTTTTAATTTAATTCCAATTTTTGCAATTTTTCAGATTTTATTTTCTTATTTCACATTTTTGTTGTTGTTGTTGCTGCAGGAGGCATCTCGGCCGTCCATCATGGAGCAGCACTTATCAACTCTGTGCATATGGACGTCACGGTCGGCCACCCCGACACGTCACAATCACAGCGCCCGCCCGCCCGCGCGCTCGCCCACTCCCCAATCAAGGCAATCGCAAAATGCTTTCAGGAACAGGTGGCGCGTGGCGAAGCGGCGCGAGACGATAATGGGCTCGATACGGCGAAATGGCCTCTCTGCTGCAGGGGGGATGCACAAACTCAATATGTTGCACACTTGCACACACACACACGCGCCAGTGTGTGTACGTGTGCGTGTACGCGGATGTATGCGCGTGTGGGGAGCAGTGGTGAAGCGATTAGCGCGCCGCGATACAATCCCGGCAGCCCGAGTTCGATTCCTCGCTCACGGCCTCCCCTAGGTCCAGTCAGCCGAAAAGAAGCAAATGGTGAGATGTGTGAACATCGCCACGAGGGAGATAATGTCGGCCGGGCGTGGTGCTGGCCACCTACCGCCTCGTGAGCAGTGCCAGTCTTCATTAGGTGCGACTCACGAATAGCACTCGCCCCAAGCGTCTGTTATGGCTATACGGGGGATCTTTGTCTTTGTGTGTATACATATGTGTGCATGTGCTAATGTAGGTGTGCGAACACTTGTACGTGCAAGAACATGTAGATATACACACACACACACACCTGTGTGTGTAGTTAAGTATTTAATTATGCAGTACACACAGGTTAGTAGGGTCGTGCATGAACCACTCTGCCACTGCTCCTGACACACACACATGAACACACGTACACACGGTCGCACAGCGTGTGTAGTTGGCAAAAGGCCAGAGAGAAAATGAGTTGGGCCACAGGCTGGGCTCTGAGTGATGAGTATCTCTGGAAGTGGCAAAAGTTGGGCCTCCCTTGCCCTTATGACGTGCATGCCTGTACACTGAGCATCGATTATCAAATGAGAAATGCGGATTCCGGAGCGAACGTGCTTATGCTAGTGTCTTTAGAAGTTTCAATGTCCAGGAACAAGAATAGTTCAGGTTAGAAGTCATAAGCACTTGGGTTTCTAGTCATAAGCACATGTCCGAAATCCATCAAGCCAAAAGCTACAGGGAATAAAGTGGCCACCGAGAGGCACTTGAGCCCACGCATGCGTAACAACATTGTTTGGCAAACAATAGAGCCAAAGCAATTAGAAAATAAAAAAACATCAATGCTCTCAAAATATCTCCGTACGACAGCCCGAGCGACAGCAGCCTGCTCCCCAAGGAGTGCTGGAACACATGCGCGCGATAACGCGATGACCCCGCACGTGAGAATCAGTGGCCTACTGAAGACCGCACAACGAGCTCCGTCGCACGGATGCCTTGAGGGCATCACGACAGAGAGTGCGACACGCACGCGGTGTGCTCTTTGAAGGGCGCGAGGGAAGGTAAATGGCGCCACCAGCAGGGAGAGGTGAAATTGTTTTCCGCACGTGGCGCGCGAGTGGAATTCGAGTCGAGTCAGCACCCAACCCGAGGGCTTCTCGACAAAGTCTCGGTCCAACGTCAGCAACACGACTCAGGCCTCCAACCCTAACGGTGCCTCCTGGCAATTTCTTCGACCACCGTGTGCTCAGTTTGTTTGAGAATGATGTCCGTGGAGGAGGCCGGGTGGCTCAAGGGTCAGAGCAATTGAGCCAGAACTGCTGAGATGCCGGATTCAAATGTTGGGTTTCAGCCACCAGTGGCTAAGCCAGGTTCTTAAGTTCGATTAGTTGATGGTATCAGCCCAGTCACCAAAGCCAGGCGGGGATAATCATCATATTAAAATGTGATTTCTCACTTAAGTTGGCTACATTCCACCTCCGACAAGTTTATAAAATGTCAGCTTTGCCACGCGACGGGCATTTCTCCAGCAGCACACGTGGGGAAGTGCTCCCCTGGAGGGCGGATTAAGGGGGGGGGGGGGGTCAGTCACTCTTGCTTTTATTCAGAATCGTTACTTATCCTGGAGGAATCCGACAAACTATGAAGGTCACTTTCACAAAAGTTCCATATCGCCCACCACGGGCCCTTCTCAAAACACGCAGGGCGATGATGTGCTGCTCGGCGAGACCTCCGAACGGACAATTTAGAGCGACTGCAATAAAACTGGGAAAGGGGCCGGAACCCACGAATGGCTGTGCACAAGGGAGCTGCGCTCTCACCTCGGAGGGCTGTCGCTTGGCGGGCTGGAGGGCCGAACCCGGCGTGGCGAGCGAGCCGCCCCCCTTGCCCCCTCCCATCTTGAGCGCCGCGTCACGCCGGGCCTGCTCCAGCAGGAGTCGCGCTCGCTCCTTCAGCTCCTCCTGGCGGCTCAGAGCACGCTGCACAACGCCACGTACGTCGTCGTCGTCGTCGTCATCGCCGCGGCCGACGGGGGTCATCACAACAATAAGTGCGACCACGTCCAATACCACCGCCCATCATCACGACCATCACCTACATGATCAAGTGCCACCAGTCACTGCAAAAATGCTTCCCACCATCACCACGAAAACTAATATTATCATAAAGTACACAGCTGCAACAACCATCACCTCCACCATCGTTTTCATCATCATCACATTTGGCACTATAACAACAATTAGCAATCATCGCAATGATGAACGTCACCCACTACCATTAAGGATGAAAAATGCTTTAAAAGGGAAACATCATTGCGTGCACCTCAATACCCTTTAGGCTTAAATTTTGATTTAAAGCTTTCGTGACTGCAGGGATTCATATTCTTGGTTCTTTCGGTAAAGTCACGTAGAAGGGAAACAATAAAATAATACAATTATAAAACAATAAAATTCTCACGACGTTTCGACTGCAACACAAGCAATCACACCTGATGATGATTGCTTGTGTTGCAGTCGAAACGTCGTGAGAATTTTATTGTTTTATAATTGTATTATTTTATTGTTTCCCTTCTACGTGACTTTACCGAAAGAACCAAGAATATGAACCCTTTAGACTGTTGGGGCAAATGCTGTTAGCAAGGCCTTATGAAGGCCGGCACGGTGCTTGAGAGAGTGGTGTGGCCAGCACCACTAAGCCAACCTTCATCTCCCGAGTTATGTTTGAACACTGTGCCGCCAGTGGTACCTAGGGAAGGCCCAGGACTGGTTCAGATGTCACTTGCCACTGATGCCAGCCGTAGCTGGGAATTGAACTCGGGTTAGTGCGCTAACCATGACACCTCAACACCCGCGCACACACACACATACACGCACACACAAGCACAGGCATACATACACACAAGCGGACACACTCGTACTCACCCACGCACACACACACCCACACACGCCCACGCTCGACCAGCCGCACCTTATCGGTGGCGACGCCGCTGGTGCCCACGTCGGCGAGCGTGGCGGACTTGGTGAGCGGCACCGACCTCTGCACGGGGCTGCTCGGAGCCTGGGAGCACACGACATTACCGTCGTCGTGGCACGCACACACGCATGCACGCGGACACGCACGTACAACAGACTGCTGGGGCAAGCGAGCACCTATGAATGCTGGCATGGCACACGAGGGGGTGGTGTGGCCATCGCCACTCCCGGCCGCCTCTGTGTCCCCTGTGCTGATGCTTTCTACACATCGACTAAGGAGAGGTGCAAGATTAGTACAGATATCACTTGCTCCTGTTATTAGCTGTGACCGATGATCAAACCAAGGTCAGCGGGTTTGCAGCACAGTGCACACTATAGCACCGCTCCCCATGTTCATGCATTTGTTCATTCTTTGGAGCACGCGCTCACACTTGGAAAGACAGAGGCAAAGCCTGGGTTAGGGAGCGCCTCATGCAAGCCGCTCGCAAACAGTGACCGGGAGAGCGGCAGCACCTTGTCGGCCTCCTTGTCGGAGCGCTGCGAGAGGCTGCGGTTGAGCTTCGTGGCCGGCGCGCTGCTGTCGCCATCCGAATCGCTGCGGTGCGCCAGGTCCGCGCGCTTCTTCTTCACCAGGTCGGCGTCGCGACTGTGCGCGAAGGCGCTCGCCCGATGCGCGTGCCCCGAGGGCTTACGCGACAGTGCCGACTGGAGGCCCTGGGCATCCGCCTCGCCCGAGGCTCTGTCCGCGGCCGATCCCGGCGCCACCCCCGCGGGTCTCGCCTCCGGCTCGGACTCGCTGCCGCTGCCGCACCCGCCCAAGTCGCTGAAGTCGAAGCGCTCGACCGGGAGGAGCCGTTTCTTGTCCACGCCGAGCGACGGTGGCGCCGCAGCCGCCGAAGGCTCCCTCTGCGCGTCCGCCGTCGCTGCGCCTGGCTCCACCGCGAGTTTCTGCACAGGCACGGCAGCCGAGTCCCCGTCGCTCTTCCGACTTCTGTCGCCGAACCTTGGTCCGGTTCCTCCAACCTCGTCGCCAGGAAGCCTGCCGTTTTGCCGCGGCGAGCCGTCGCCGGGGTCGACGGGCTCACCGCCGATCTCCGGCGCTCTGGCCGGTGGGGCTGAGGAGGCGGTGCCGGAGGCGGCAACGGCGGCGGCGGCGACGGTCCCGTCGACGGGGGTGCCCGCCACGCCGCCTTTCATCTCGGCGTAGAAGCTGCGCTGCGAGATGGCCGCGGCGGCATCGCTCTCGAAGCTGCCCACAGTGTAGGTGCTGCGGCTCGACGTGTCGCCCACGTGGAGCAGGCTCAGCTCCTCGCCCGTGAAGTGGGCGCGGATCTGGTACAGGTACGTCATGACCGTCAGCTTGTCCGGGATGGCGAGCAGCACCATGTCGGACGGCTCGAGGAGACGCGAGATGCCCAGGCCCGCGAAACCGTCGTAGGCCTGCCGGGAAGTTCACACACGGCAGGCACGCGTGGTCATTCACTTGTGGATTTGGTCATTCGTTCTTTCATGCGCTGGCAGCTGCGCTGCCTTTGAGCGGCGTGGCAATAAAAGGCACGTGGGGTTAGGATGATGCTCGACAATCGCACGCACTCACAAGGGCTCTTTAAAGCCGATTCATCCCAAAGAGTAATAATCCTGTCACTCACGCTTGACAGCACGCTCATTTACATATGGCACGATCTTGCAAAGCACGGAATGCCAAAACAAAGCAGACTTTTACAGAGTAATATTATTCATTCTGCAATGTAGCCGGCGCGGTAATTTCCACCATTTCTACCTCTAGCTCAGCAGAGGCGAACACCCCGGCATGCTTGTTTTGCTCAAGGACAGCACGTGAATGACAACGCAGTATTTTAGTTATGTAAAAGCCATTATACCATTTTATGCATACATGTTTAAAAAAAAACATCAATATTCACGTTTAATTATAAAACACGCATAAATCCGAGTCGTTACCTTCTTGTTGTTCTCTTTGATGTTTTGTGGGTTGAGGCCCTTGTAGTCGCTGAACAAAAAGGACAAAGAAACAGCGCCATTTGGAATGGCTTCCATCGACCGCCAAGCATCAGCAAAGGCTGAACACAAGTCCAAGAAAAAACATTTTGGACCAGGCCCACACAGTACAAATGAGAATCCCTCGGTTAAACGGTGCAATGCCAAAGCATTTGTCATATTTTGTTTTCACGGGTGCACAGCTGTTTGACACGGTGCCATTTGAAGTTACAGAATACGGGGCAACGATGATACCAAGCTCGGGTAGAAGAGACGAGAGAGAGGGCAGCGCACAAAGGACAGCACACCCCCGTGAACGTGGGATGGGAGAAAGGGCAGGACACGGTCAGTGTGCAGGGCAGAAGATATTCGTGACAAGGATCTCGGAAGGGCAGGAAGAGGGCAGGTTATAGTGCAGGGGGGGCAGCAGTAACATGGGGGATGGATGGGAGAAATGGCAGGGAAGGGATACATTAGGTGACGCGAGTGTCAAGAGAGGAAACGCGCAAGGTTCAGCACTGACATGAGGTTGGGCCGGAAGTGATGCAGGATGGCACAGAAGGCCATGCCGTTGCGCCATGACGTGGTGAAGTTGGTGATCTTGACTCCGCGGTAGTCCCGCGTCACCTCCTTGCACCAGCTGAGCAGGGACTGGATGGAGTTCACCTTCTTGTCCAGCACGGGGCTCGGCGACGGACTCAGCTGCACACACCGGGGTGCACGGGGGGGGGGCACGGGGAAAAACCGCGGGACCTTGAGTCGTCATCATCATCCATGCACGCGATGGGCTTGTTTTTTAATGTTGCACACTCATGTGGCCTCACTCCAAGCACTCTTTTCCTTGAAATCAATACTCTCCCCTGAGGCCCTTGGGTTAATGAACTATTTTTATTAATGTACATTATGTTAATAAAACATTAACTACAAACCTCAAACATCAATCCAAAGCCAAACAGGCTGTTGGGACAAATGTAAAAGATTCTAGACTTGTGACACTAGTTACTATGCTCATATAACTCATCACAACAACAAAACAAATACACAAATACGGTATCATCGTAACCAGTATAAATACATCTCGCGACAACAAAGTTTGGTTCATCATCAAAAGTAAACATGCAAGTTCAACTGGACATTCCCTCTAACAAGGGGAATCGAGGGTGAACCTTAAACACCACACGGAGTGGAGGATTCCGTAACATCCACAGCCTCTCAGCTTCCCAAAGAGAGTTTGGGACGGCGAAAATAAGAGATGCTACATCAACAGGAGCCGCAGCAGCATCCCTCCTGCCGCACGGCAAAATTCCTCATGTCACACGGAGACCATTTGCACCGGGTGTAAGGGAAGAGAAAAAAAATCTCCATTGAAAAGAAATCCCCTCCTTTGAGATGGCAGAGGGGTTGTAATGTTCTTTTTTGCGGGCGGGCCCAGTCACATCCGTGGCCGACCCCACCGACACAACAACAGCGGACGAGAGCACCTGCGCAAGCGTGCTTGGACCAGGGGCGGGGGAGAAAGTGCTCCGAGTGGCCGTGCATGCTAATACAGCTCTCGCTGCTCTCCTCCCACTTCCAGTGGGGCGGGTTGACCAACGACGGACAACCTCGCCAAGTCCAGCGCGAGCGGAACGTGTCCCTTGGGAGGGAAACACCACGCAACGCGAGGATTCGAGTCGCTTGTTTCCACGTCGCACAGTTGAATTAATTTACATCGGTGTGTACTGCTGTACACACAACCACTTCCTGCTCCACTCGACAAATTCAATCTCATATTTCCAAGGCAAAATATTCGCTTTGATTAAAGACGCCCCACTTGTCAGCAAGACTGGCCAAGCTTGCCATTTCATATATTTACATAAAAGTTTATCTCCCATCGTTATTTTGCTTTTTTCCCGAAAGGTTGCCGCGACCCCCGCCGAAGAGGGTCACGGTAACCACGGCAACAGGGCGCTGCGCACCGTCGCCGGGCGTGCAATCGCCATCTCCAGGCACCGCCCTCGCGCCAACCGAGGACCACGCCGGTGGGCCTGGCGCCATCGCCACGGCTCACGTGGTGGCGCAGGTGGCTCGCGAGGAGCCTGCACCGCCACAACAGACCACCTGTGCGCCGCCATGACCACCGAAAACCTCGCCGGTAATCGTAGGAGCGCCGCCCACGGCACCGACGGTCTCCGAGCATCAACTCCACCCACGCGAGTATGACGTCAACAGACACATCACCACCGACGTCATTTGGAGACCTAACGCCACGGCAATGTGGAATTTCCACGGCGTAGCCAACGGAGACGACCAACGCCTCGCGGCCATTTGAGCAAGAAGCCACTCTTGACTTGTGCACGAGTGGTTTGAGGCATTGTTTGATGGTGCGGGGACAAAAATAATAAAATCACAAACGGTTCTTTGGAAATAGCTGGCGCACAGGAAGTGCCACGGAGGCCTCAAGCAAACGTCTGGCGAGGCGGCGTACGCGGCGATGCATTAACTAAACCAACTCCCGCGGGGGTATTTATTTTTGTTTGCCAGGTCTTCAAAAGAGCACGAAACCGACCGTGCCAAACAGATGAACCAAAATTAAAGTCGCATAATAAGCGTTTAGACAGCGATATTTGCTTAGGAGCCATAGAAGCCACTCAGATTCATGGGAAGTTGAGCGTAGGTGTCCCTATCAAAACAACTCGGGACAACGGCCGCGGCAGTGACTGACAGCCGCCGCACACTGCGCCATTGACGCGTCGGGATCCAGGAACCGACGGCTCCGGTCCCCGGACAAAAGCGGGCGTAGTCTGGGGCAGGGCCAGGTAATGTGGGGCGGCTGGCAAAATCACACAGCGATGCGGAGCCCATGCCCCAAAAGGAATGCGGCTTTACAAGAGATGGGGGGGGGGGGGGAGAGTGCGGGCCTCGGGGTCGACACGAAGCGTGGGGGACGGGCACACGAACCTCCATGGACCTGGGGCAGGGGGGGCCCACAGACACGGGAAGCCGAGTCCCACACACCTCACTTCCACCACGTGTGGCAGGGCGCTGCCCTGTGTTTGAGACTTCCGCACCGACAGTGCCACAGCCCGCACGGGCCGACTCGGATAAAAGTTTCAAGTGCCTCTGTTGTCTCAGGTTCCATGGGTTCGAGCCGACACTGTGGTATTTATGATTTACTGCACATGAGGAGGACGTGATAGCGCGTGGTTAAGTTGAAGGCGACGTGCAAAAGTTCTCCATCTCTGTGGCACTGCCGGGTGCCTACAGACAATAAGAGGAGTCAGAGGAACACGAAAGAGATGGTGGTGGGTGGGCGGGGCATAGGAGGCACTGGTGGTGCCAGACAGGGGGAACGGGAGTGATCGCCTCCTGCGAGTTTCACCATGGTCCGATGTGCGACAGGAGCATCGATGTCAGGGCCATCCTTGCTCCGACCACAGCCGATTGCCCGTGTAAGTTTTTTTTGCGGAAGGAGATCGGTGAACTCAAACTGAGTAACTGGAGCTACATCTGGAAACGGAGAGTTTTTCTTTCATTTCCGTCCTCGATCGCCAACCCGCAGCCTCAGCAAGATACGCAATTTCGAAAGGATTAGAAATCAGAAGAAACCACTGAAATTATACAGGGCGGGTTTTTGGACAGAACCAGAGGATTTCACAAAATACAAAACACCACGCACGTATCGGCACCGATTTTGAAAACGGAACATTCCGTAACTTTGAGACCTCAAAACGTGTTGAAAAGAAAAAAATCCTTTTACAAACAAACCCGTAAAGTGGTGCTATGAGTGAGCGTGGGCTGTCCCTGCTGCTGTGACTTTAGTTTGAAGATTCTAAAGTGCCCCCGCCCCCCACCCATACACCCCCCTTCCTCCCGACCATCCCCAACATCCGTCGTACAGAGCGATTACACGTTGCGTCGGTTATTACTTGAGACCCACTTTGCGCAACGAGGGACAGTGGGCCTCCCCTACATCGCAGTGGGCTCTCTGGCAGGTTCAGAAGATACTCTTTGGTTCTATTCGGTAAAGTCACGTAGGTAAAAAATAAAATAACAAAAATCACGACGTTTCGGCCACAACACAAGTGGCCTTCATCAGGTGAAGGGACCGTGCTGTCACGAAGACAGCGTAGGAATTCCTACGTCGTGATTTTTGTTGTTTTATTTTTTACCTACGTGACTTTACCGAATAGAACCAAAGAGTATGGATCCTTGCAGTCACGAAAGCTTCAAATCTAGAAAGTTTCAGAAGATTACGATAATCATGCCCAAACCCCACTTTTAACTACAAAGACCCAATTACAGAAACTTACTCCGAGTTGCAATTGACTAATGTGTTTTTACGTGTGTCTAATTTAACCTGGAAAGATTCAATGGCCCGGATGACCTTTATTCAGGAGGGTCCAGAACTGGAGGAACTTACACGTAGGATAAAAAAAACCGGAGAGCCTGGAAGAAAATCCAAGAATGAGAGGAGATGAAAAAAAAATCTACACAGGTCAGCAAACACATTAACTTCATGTGCTGAGTATTAAAATCTATTAATTACAACTTACACCAATTGTATGCGGGCAATACAAGTAGGCTAGCGGAACAAACAACTGTCCAAAAGAGGCAATAGAAAACAGAAACGATACAAACGAGACAGAAAAACGAGACGATAATAATAATAATAAATCCCCGCATCGTGACACACGGCTGAATTGCTGGAGAGGGGGGGGGGCGATCGGACGCATGCCAAACGGGTGCACCTCAACTCCCCGTAAGATCAGTGCCAACCGTGGCAGATGCAGATACCGGGTGCACAAATGGAAAAACAAAAACTCTCCAGCAGTGCGCGACTGTGGTCATCCGAAACAGACCGTACAACGTACAACGACGCGATGCCCGATCCACAAACACGAAGGAGACATCGCGGCGATGATACGCTCCGCTGCTCCTGGTGCGGTCATCCGGCCTGACCACCTGAATGTGAAACTGTAGTTGTTGCTCGGCATCCACATGGGCCGCACAAAGAAAAGAACGAAGAAGTGCCAATGCAGCGGGTGGTTCCTCTTACCTTGGGCGAGGGTGACACCTGTTCGGCGATCGACAGGGCCTGAGGGGAAGGCTTCGCCTTTGGGGTTTCGACGCCACCGCCGCTAGCAGCCAACGTGGGGGGGAGGGGCGCGGGGGCTTTCCTCTTCTCGTGCTTGGCGGGCGTGGTGGCGATCGCCACGGATACGGGCTCGGAGGCGGGCGTGGAAGAGGAGGCGGCGGGGGACGCGTACGAGGAGGGAGGAGGGGGCGCGGGCGCCTTGCCGCGCGATGCCACCGCGCTCTTGGGAGGGTCCGGCGCTGGCGGCTCGTAGAACGGGTTCGATCTGCCGCACAACAACAGTGAGATCCTTAATCCCGACTATAACACTGCAGGTGTATTCATAACCACGACTAACACTGCAGGTCTAAACATAACCATTGCGGAGGTGCCCAAGGCAAACGTGAGAACCCACAAAAGCCGATTGCCCATACGTGCGTTTTTATTTGAAAAAAAGTACTTCATTGAGTTGCTTTGTGCAGAGGTGCAAAACGTTTACATGACATTCAACGAACTGTGTACGCTCCCTCTCTCCTGGTTTTGTTCTTTGAACAAACGATGGATACGTTCTACCATTAAATGCATCCTGCTCGGGGACATTCATGGTACAAGAAATAAGATATTGGAGATATAGGGCAGGAGTGGGAGTGCAGTGGTTAGCACACTGTGCGACGAACCCGGTGACCTTCAGTTTGGTTACGGTCCATAGCGAGCACACGTTGCGAGTGATATCTGAAACAGTCATGGGCCCTCTCTCCATCAATCTGCACTGATCAGCGTATGGTCAAACAACCCCTATGAACGACACAGTGCCTGGAAAGCCTTCATCCAGCAATGGACTGATAAAGGGTAGTACATGACTGCTATTATAACTATAAAATACAGGAATAAAAATAAGCTACACATGACAATTTCCATCCAATAACAGGACACCAACTCCAGTGGGCTGTTAGAGAAAAATCATTTGCAACTGCGATTTGAAATGATGAGGAATTACTCCGGTAAACAATTGCATCTAGCTATTGTTTCCATGCTAATTTTCACAAATGATCACACACTGCACCAGCAGGTGCGATCAGTCGCACAGACGGGCTGCATACAACACCTCCAGCAGAACCCCGATTTAAAATTTTCAAATCAACCAAAAGAGAGCTGCAAACGTTGTCATCCCACGGGTTAGCACAATTTGAGTAAACACAATTGGGTTAGCGCAACCACCACATGGGTTAACACAGCCAGGTTAGCACAACCGTGCAAGCACAATTCGACAGGTTGGTTAGCACAATCCGCACGCCAGTTCGTACAACCCACACCAGAAACGACCAGAGGCCCCAGGACGGCTTCCACCGCGCCCTGCCGGCCTTCAGTGCGGCTCTCCCTGCCGGGCAGGTGAGTGGGTCAAGCTGCGGCGTTCGTCACGGATGCGGTACCTCGACCCGCTCACGGGGAACAATGCAAGAGCACGGGCGGGGGTGGCAGATGTGAAGGGGTGCACGGCCACAATCAACGCCGCTGAGATTATAGGAGGTGGGACCAACAAATTTACAAGCGGTGATCGTCTGGTGGCTCCGTACCGAGGCCGCGAGTACCGCATGGTCCTACACGATTTTGTAACCCTGCAATGACGAGCAACGAGACTTAAAACATTAAGCTCTCAACAGTGTCATTACAGTGGTCCGGTGACATCACTACGACATGTTTTAACGCAGCATTGTTGACGTCACACGATGACCGTGCTGCCATTACAGAGCTGCAAAGATTAACGAAGCTTCAAACTTCTGGTCAGACGTGCGGGAAAGCACAGCCGCGTTGCTTAAAGCCACGTTTGTCTTTAATCTTTGGTTCTATTCGGTAAAGTCACGCGTGACTTTACCGAATAGAACCAAAGAGTATGGATCCTTGCAGTCACGAAAGCTTCAAATCTAGAACGTTTGTCTTTTTTCGCTGAAATTCCTCTTAACAGCCACTCGTGCTGGTAACCAACCCCAGTAGAATATCATGAGTCTGAGAAACCACTTACAAGTTAAAAGCAGAGGCATCACCACCACCCAACCAGTCACCCTCTCGACAAGCCGCTGACCTCGTCACACCATCGTCTCAGCGAAACGGCACACCCTGGCATCCCAAGCTAGGCCACAGTTAGAAAGATACCGGTTCTGTTGCGCGACAATGTTGAATAACAACACACCAATGTCACCCACCGTTATAATTGCAGTGTTAATTATGTGCACAATTGGTCACAATGTCAAGCTTCGAAAGTTTGCAGAGTTATTAATTTGAGAGGGAAGGATGGTTCTCACTTGTGTCAACTTTAAGACTGGTTACTTTTTGGGAAAGCGGATTTTGCTTGAGTGCACACATTATATATTAAAATCATTGATCGCAGGCCAAAGAATCAGAGAATTCAAAGCGAATAGCTCTCAGACGGTCGCTCTTGCTGTCAACCAAAGCCAAGTTGTAGTTCACCTGAAGAGGCTTACATGAACAACGTGAGTACAGCAGCAGAGTTAGGATGCCAGCTCTGTACCGAACAACGTTCAGTCTCATGGTTGTTGATTTTTTGTTATAAATGCATTTTAACATATTGGTTTGTTACATGCAGACAAACAAAACTGAGTGACAGACTCCCTGCAACTGTCGACCAATGAAAACGAGCTCCGCTCTGGGGCAGGCGGGCCAGGACAGGTGTGCGCGCTCGCTCCCCCGTGGCACAGAAAGCGTATGGCAAGCTCACACGCACACACTCGCAAACACGCGTGCGTGCGCACACACACGCGGGGGGGGGGGGCGCGGGTAACGCTGGGACGTTGACGCGCACGTGGCCCTCCGTGTCGGGGCGCCCCCGGTCGGGGCGACTCACTCTGCTGCGCTCGAGTCGGCCGCTGCGCGATCGCCGGGTGGTTCCGCGGCGGGGGCGGCAGCGCTGCTGGGGGAAAGAGACCCCGAGACGGAGCCGCGCGGTCATTCCCCTCCCCTCCTCCTCCGTCGCGGCCTCGTACGGCGTCCCGTGGCGCGCGGAACGTTACCGACGCCGTCGCGCCGCGCCCATCGTGGCACGGGCAATGAACACGCGAGTCAAGCGGAAGTGAAACGATGCGTGGGGTGGGGGATGGTGGAGCTGTGGGTTAGCGCACTGCATCCCCGAACCAGTGCCGAGTTTGTACTCCTGACCACGACCAATACCACGTCGGGCGATGTCTAAACCAGTCTCGGTCAAACCCCGCCCTGCCCCAAACCGCATTAGCAGGCTTAGTCAGGTATGGTATAAAATAATAATCATTATTATTACTTTAATTAAACTGATGCAAGTTTCACAGCAGCCAGCGAGGTTAGTAGGCATGTGAACGTTCATAAATTCGCCTTTCGACAGAGAATCAATGATCTTCCTCAAGAAACACAAATTGAATTATCTGCGTATTCACAGATCACCGCGTGTAAATTCTAAATCGCTCCAAGACAAAATATCATCCAAGCCTGCAGTGAACCCCCACCCCCAAAGCCACCACAATGTGGTGGGAGCGACCGGCGACATCTCGATTAGCTACTACCCCCGCCGAGTTCTCATCACCCAGCTCATGGGTGATGAGCCGGACTGCATAGCTCGTCAACCCACACGGTTCACCCGGATTCTTGTACAGGGAAATTCAGTTCTCAGGTCCATATGGCGTACAGCCGTTCCAATACAGGAAAAACTTTGTCTATTTTTTTTGTATTCTTAGCTCTTTTGGTAAAGTCACGTTGAAGGGAAACAATAAAATAATAAAATATATAAAACAATAAAAATTCGACCATAACACAAACGGTCGTCATCACGTGATGACGACCGTTTGTGTTATGGTCGAAACGTCGTGAGAATTTTTATTGTTTTATATATATTTCATTATTTTATTGTTTCCCTTCAACGTGACATTACCGAAAGAGCTAAGAATATGAATTACTGCAGTCACGGAAGCTTTAAATCAAATTTTTTTGTGTTTCTCCCTTGTGATGGGACTTTGTAGGATTAACTTTGAGATGTATAAGGGCACGGGGTGACTGAATTGGTCTGTAATAAGGTCAGCACTGAAAAGGGGTTGATAGGTATGCTATACACGACACTATATACTACTATACACTACACTACTCTACCATAGCTGTCAACCCATACGGTTTACCCCAGATTATTACACAGGGAAATTCAGTTCGGGTCCATATAGCGTACAGCCATTTCAATACGGGCAAAACAATGTTATGTCTATTAGTTTGTGTTTCTCCCTTGTGGTGGGACTTTGTCGGCTGAACGTTGAGGTTAATAAGGGGCACGGGATTGTCTGTAATAAGGTAGGCACTGATAAGGGGTTGACTGGTATGGGACTCGTGCCACGTCTGTTTCCTATCATCTTCTCCAGTCCTGTTCTCGACTGAGCGTACTAATTTATGTACACCGTATTGGAACGCATCCGGTTTGCAAGGCGTATAATGTGGACATTGTGAGCTTCAGCGCTGCCTAACACGGCGTCTACAAACATTCTCACCGTACGTCATAGGAGTTGAGGACAATGCAGCAGTTCTTGTTAACAGTCCGTGTCTAAACCGCCACGCCAAGTAGTGAAACACCAAAGTTGTTGCAAGTTCATTATTTAAAAAACAGTGATCGTTAATAACAAGGCAAGCACGATTATTGTGCACACCTTTTCGTACAGTATCGCACGTCTTATTCCTTTTGTTCCGATGTCATAGCTAGAAGGCTTCATTTCACGTTTGCTCTTGTATGGATTCCCTAAACCGTATTTATTTTGTCACCACTAAGGATTTATTTTACAATTGCATTGCTCATTTTCCTGCAACCAGGTTATTTACGCTCAGCTCGCGCTCCGTTTTGCCCCGTCAGGGCCTCCATTGCAGAAGGGGCTCGTCACAAGGGCCCCCCCCCCACACAACTCCGCCCCATCCCCGCTCGGCTACAAACGACGGCCACTTATCGCACGCGGCGCCGGTCCACTGGCGACGCGATGCTATTGCCGAGTGGCCCACGGGAGCGGAAGGCAGAGTGGATACGAGCGTGTGATCGACGCTTGCTCGCAATACTGCCCGGACAAACCAGTTCTGCAGAGAGACCAGCGTCAGTTGTGCCACGATATGTCGGCTCATGAATAAAATAAATATAAAAAACAAGTCCACTTCGTGAAACTAAAACTATAACCCAGGATGAGTCGAGGTGAAGGTGTGAGAGAGTGAGTGCGGAGGGGGGCAGCATGAGCAGCAGCTTTCACGCACCGATACCTGGGGGGGGTTCAGCGGTGTACAGGGTCAGCCACTTCCGCCGTTGCCAAAGTAATGACAGAGCTACGAAGTTTCAACGTGTCGAGTCTGAGCACTGCCATTCGGCAGTGTTGCGGGTGCGCGCTAGAACGCAGACAGGTGTCCTCATGCGCACACGTGTGTGTGTGTATACAAACACACATTCCAACATTCACCCCTACAGACTCGAACACACTCACTCACACACACACCCCCTTACACGCGATGACACTCACCGCCACCCCACTCACTCACGCCCCCGGGGAGGTAGGGGTGCCGCCACTCACTCGTCGAGCTGCTCCGAGTCGTCGGCCGCGCTGCCGTACAGGTACTTGCTCATGTCGACGGCGCTGAGCGCGTCGCGCTTGCGGCTCGGCTTCTGGGGCGTGAGCGCGGGCGAGGACGAGGGCGTCACCGTCGGCACGGGCGGCGCACGCCCCTTCTCCGGCCGCCTCTCCGGCGTCGGCGCCGGCGCTGGCACGCACTCCTCGGCCTCGTCCTCGAAGGGGTTGCTTCCACACTGCGGCGGCGAGGCGGCTTCCTCCTCAAACGGGTTTCCGCCACCGCCCTCGTCCGCCCCGTCCGGATCGCCAAACGGGTTCTGGGAATCGTCGCCGCCGCAGTTGCCGGTGGCGTCGGGGTGGCGATTCGTGACGGCGGTGGCGGTCGTGGTGGAGGTGGTGGCGGAGGTTGAGGAGGTGGTGGCGGGGGCCGGGGTGGTAGCTGAAGTGTCGCTGCGATGTGGCGGTGGCGGTGTCAATGACGCGGCGATCCTCGGAGGCTTGAGGGGTTTAACCTCTGTGGTTTGACAGACGAGAGCAGAGTGAGCAACATGGGTTCCAGGCAGACAAGTGAAGCGTCAGCGGTGAACACTACAAGGCATATTCAAGTTGACATTATTTTGTTGAAATGTAGGCCCTGATGAGCTCTATTTACAAATGCAATGCAGGGGTTCGTAGTACAGGGCCATTCATTTTTAGTTCATTTTATTTGGTATAGCCCTGTGAGCCATTCGGCTCTTGAATCGGGTGCAACCGCAACAAACAAAAAAACATGAACAAGAAAACATCTTAAAGTGATTATGTGACTGTGCAAACAGAAAATCCAGGAAAATGTTATCAACATTCATCAACAATGGTACTAATTTGAGATTAACTCATGCTTCACTTTTACATTTTGAAGCTCATTTGATAATCTATTTTACTTGAAATTTCGAGTTAAATGTTCAATCCTTTGATGATTTGTTTTGCAATAATATATTTTGACCTTTCATCTGTTAACCTTTGTAACAACGCGTATTCCTTTTGACCGTCCTAGCTACGCGTACGACACTTACTTTGTAACACAGCGTTCGCTTAAACAAACCTTAAGCCTTAGAGGACCCTCGCCTGGTTTTACATAAGTTGATCGATTACCTGATGAAATGAAACACCGAGACCGACCCAGCTCCCAACCAATCAGCCTCACCTTGCTGCACCTCGACCACTGCGGGGGGGGCAGGGGGGGCAGGGGGGGCAGGGGGGGCGGCGATGGCGGCCGTCGCTGCCGCCGCCACCACCATTCCAGACGGCTCCTCCTCGTCATCATCAGCGTTATCCAGGAAGTTCAGCTTGTTGATGAGTTCTGGTGGCGGGGCGATTCGAGGTGCCGAGCGGAGCACGGTGGCACGTTTGAAGGTGGAGGGGGCGGGGGGGGAGAGGTACATTCGGGTTGGGGAAAAGATAATCGATTTAGATCTTAAGTAAAACGTCCACATGTCCCGCCATGTGAGAAACGTCGAATGCCGATCCCGGCTGAAAAGGTGCCACGGGTCCGTCGGCGCAAGCAAGGTCTCGGAAATGAGACGCCGCGGAGCAAAGCGAAGCGGGTGGGTGACGTCACAACGGGACACGGGGCAGCCAGCCACGAAGAAGCAAGGGCACAACGCACGATGCGGCATGCCAGGCAACGCCTCGGCCTCCTAGGACGAGGAGGAGATTTCCAGCGACGACGACGACGACGACGGAGCGGGCACGCGAGCATGCAAGCGCGAGACGGGCACGGCGGGTGGCAAGCACGTCAACAGCCGGCAGGCAAGCGGTCACACAACGCTTGCAGAGAACGGGAACCGGGGCAGGGCAGCAAGGGTTCAACGATGGAGTCAATCGAGTGGGAACATTTTCACAAAGGGATCAATGCACACACACACATGGGGAACATCAAATATCCATCAATTGATCGACAAAGTTGGCAGCATATAATAGAGGGGCCCAAAAGAAATCCACGGAAGTACCATCTGAATAACCTCATTTTTTGTAGGTTAACTGCAATCATCAAAGCGAGTAAGGACTAGGCAAGTCAATGGTGACTTAACAAGCTATCGGTGGTCATTCCATACGCCGACAACTCCAAAATATACTTCCGCAGATTTCCATCGGCTCCGGTGACAAGAGGAAAACCTTGGGAGGAGGTGGCAAGGCCGGCCGAGTGGGGGCCCTGTTTAAAGGAGCCCTGATCCTTGTCGTCCTCTAAGCGGCAGAGAGCATTCAGCTGGTTTACTATGTCTAGAGGGGAGAGAGGTGACGGACAGGCAGCACGGACACGCAAGGGGCGTGGGTGGGCGAGAGCGGGGCAAGGATCGTCGTGCGGGACGGGGGGTGGGAAAAAGGGAGCGCAGGTAGCAACGGTGGAATCATCGCAGCCATCGACAGGGAAAAAAAATGGGTTCGGGAGAAATGCAGGGAAATCGGCATCGCGTGGGACAGGGAAGGGGCGCGGCTCGCTGGGGAAGAGTGCGGCAGCGTCGTCGGGCGGTGATAACGAGGACGTGGAGGGTCCGGAGTGGTGGGTGGTGGTGGGGAGGGGCAGGGGGGCGATGCAGGACGAGGGGAGGGGAGCGTAGGACACAAAACGCAGGAGCCCGGGGTGACGGGAAGAACGGGGCGGGCGGCACGGGGCAGCGGCGGAGGAAGGGGAAGCAAAAAAGGGGAGGGGGATCAAGATATCCGTCAATCCCTCATGCACGCGGAACGGTCATTCGCCTCCCGCCACTTGTGCCCTGTGCGAGTGTGGCCAACCTCCGAGCCAAAGCCGTCAGCCATCCTTAAATAAGCGACGGCTTGCACGCTGCATGCAGTCACATTCCGCGGCAAAAAACAAAAACACGCGTGCACGCACACACACACGGGCACACAAACACAAACGCAAAGTGAAATTGCCACGTTCTGTTTTGCGTGCGGACAGAGCGCAGGCGCAAGGCGTGCCCGTCCTCCACACCCCCCCGAGCGAGGGCAGCGCCGACGGGAGACAGTGTGAAGATTCACGTGCCCGTCAGATACGCAACACGCACTGTACGCAGCATGCAACCGCGGAAACCTGTGAAACTGGGAGGTAACTTAGCGGGCGTTCGTCAGAGGCAACACTTTACGGTATTGTTGGAAATGATGAGTGCAAAACGACGGGAGGAAAAGGACACTCATTGCAAATGGCTGGACCGCTGCCAAGGCAGGTGTACCAACTGGGGCTTCAACATGGCCGCTTGCCATGTTCTTACGGAAAAAGCTCGTTTGCATTATCATTCAGATATCCAATGCCTTAACGCAAAACTCCAGGGAGAACGTATTCAAATGACCTAATTGAGGGGTACGGGCTGTTGTTATCACTGTGACATTTCCTCCACCACCGCACAAAACCAAACGGAAGCGAGAGATATCGCCACCCTCCCGTAACCGCCTCGCGTCTCAAAGCGTGTTGCTGGGCCAACGCGGCGGGCCCGGGCGGCTCGGGTTTCGCACCTGTAATCTTGGCCGCCTTCTCCTCCTGGTCCACGCGGCTCTCCTCGTCCTCCTCGTCACCCTCCTCGAAGTCGTCCAGGTTCCCGATGTCGGCCTGCTTCATGCTCATCAAGCTGGCCAGGCTCTGCATGTCCTCGTCCCTGTGTGCGTGAGCGAGCGTGTGCGTGTGTGCGCACATTTAAATTAAACATTGTCGTCGTCGTTTTGTTTTTTTAACCCCCCCCCCCAATTACATGCCACTCGAGCCCCCTGCACAATGTCACAAGGTGAATATATCGCGCAGCGAGCAGTGAACCGCGTGTGTCGAGAGAATGGCCCCCTCGAAAGCTGACTTCGCACAACTACTTCAAAGTCACCTTTTAATAAGCCACTCTATCCACACTTGGGGGAGAGATTTTTTTTTACATGCCTTGCAAACAGTGTTCGTCGCACGTCAGTTATAAACTGGCACTTTGAAACAGCACTGGAATAGGCCGAATGAATTCACAAAAACAAACTTAACGCGACGTTTACCGTGCAATTATTACAGACTCAATCGAGACCATCCGCTTGCCGTACGTGGGAAGCTGGCTTAATCGCGCGCGGCCGAAACCCGGATTCAAACCCAGGAACTCGGCGATGCCGACTCAACGCCGTGACGTGGCCGCGAGCGACGTGAGCCACCTTAGCCACGTCTCATTGTGTTCTCCCCCCACCACCCCCCCCCCCCCAATGCCCCCGCCCCCCCACCCCACCCCCCACTCCCCGTGGTCAGGTTAATCCGGGAACCCTGCAGGTCACCTCACTTCTCTCTCTCGGCTTCTTTCCTCGCACAACTCCACTTTGGAATTCCCTACAAAAAAGTATCCTTCCCCCCCCCATCCCCACCCCCCAAGTGCTTATAAGCGTGGTCAATTCAAGAACCAGGGAAATCTTATCTATTGATGAAGTTTTGAACCTTTGGGTCTGTGTTTAGCAAGTGTTAAAAAAATAATAATTTACAAACACTGCAGAAACTACCCACGGTGAGATCTAATTCGTACATCTGTAAAAATAACTTTGTAGCTCATCGGACTCCTCCAGTATAGATACACATTCTGATTCTGTACAGCGTCGAGCTTGTGAGAGATGACCAAGTCGGGTTCACAGCACGACACTGCAGCCTCGTGCCCGCCCAGCAGGGGGCAGTATCCCCCATGGGGCCCGATTCAACTGCTGTCCCACCCACCCTGGTGCGAGGAGGAACTGTGCTTACATGGTGGTTGCAACAGTCAGCAAAGACGTCACGTGGTAAGCGTTACAGACCTCTTTAACATCACAAGCCGCCCCAAATAACGCTCCCCGTAAGAAGCAAAACATGGTGGAGCCAGTACGCTTTGTCGCCCAAGACTGAAGCTTTCAATCACTAGGACGAATCGAATTGTTAAATAGTTGCACGCCGAGCGCCGTCGGCCAACAGCACCGAACGACCGCGCAGTGACGAGGGGGATTAAAGGAACGCGCGTGTGTACGTACGTGGCCTTGCCCTCGCGCAGGAAGATGCAGGAGAGTGACAGCTGCAGCGTGGCGGCCACCACCTTCTTGCTCAGCGGCTTGAAGCGCAGCTTCACGTCCGTCTGCGTGGGCATGGGGCTGGCGTACTGCTTCATGTTGATGTTGGCCGACGCCAGAGCTTTCCGCCGGCCCGCCGACGACTCCTGCACGGACGCCGCCGCCGCCACATCGTCACACAAGAGACATCCGCATCTTCATGATCATCATCATCAGCATCATCATCAGCATCGGCAGCAGCGGTAGCCGTGGTCAATCCACTGCTGGACGAAGGCCTCCTCAAGCGACCGTCATTTCCAGCAATGCTAACGACAAAAAGACAAGTCAGTCGATTTGTTTTCTTTGCCTTGCAAAGTGGAGAGATGAGAATCATTCATACAGATACAATTACCTATACCGCACTCAAATTCAATCTTTTACCTTGACTTAAAAACTGTTTAAGCCTTCTGTTAATAACAATAAATTACAATAATACTGCTGGACGTAGTTCTCCCCATTCCATGTTGGTCATTACGGCTGTTTGACCATACTTCACCATATCGGTCATGAGGATTGGTTTAAAGATCACTCACTCACCACTTGTGTTCGCCACGCTCCAAAATCCAACTCGGATAACTCAGTTTATAACATATTGCGCCAAATAAGCAGATTGGAATCTTATTTTTATTGTTCTTACGTCAAATGATATTTATTGTCGAAACAAAGCAAAATGTTTAACCATCATGTGGCAGGCAAGTGACGTTCCATAAACCCAGAGTGATTTTGACATCCAGGCTGCTTCTTCAAGGCTGTGTGCGCACGCTCTAACCCAACAAACGCGGGCTTGAAAAGCGACGCTAAGGTGAAACGCGGCACCAGGAGCCTGCACGTCAAATTTCGTCTGCGTCCAATGGGGCGATTTGCGAGATATCGCGCGATGACAGAAGAGAGCGATGAGAGACAAGCGTTCAGACGCACGGGCGTAACGCCCATAACCCCCTGCACTACATCTCCCCTCCTCATCATCTCCACACCCTACGGCCAGCAACAGAATAAACCTCACGCCGGCACTCGCTTTGCATTGTGCACACCCCATTCATTAACTTTCAACGCAACAATACCGAATCGATACCGAATCAGGCGTGGGAGCACGCCGACAGGGGGAGCCCCATTCTCAATCAATGAGACTGTTGCCCTGCTAAATCCCACAATTAATACTCAATCAATGTGCAACCATGAAAACAGCAATGTACGTCACGCACAAACAGAATTGTGGTAAAGCCAACACCTCGGAGGAATGCGCGATGACCCCTAACCCCCCCCCATCCCCCCGCCCCTTCCCCTCCTCCTGTCTACAGTACGAATGCCGTTGCAAAAAGCGGCCGTGGCAGCCGTTAGCGTAAAAGCACTCCTCCTCGGTTTGTGCATACTTCCCTGGGCTTAGGATAACAAGGCAGGCGCGTTGACAGGGCTGAATTACAGGTCGGGCCGGACGGAGGAGCAAACAGTGCGGCGGCGGCGGAGCCGTGAGCCGGTGTTGACAGCGGGCAGCAGAATGGGAGCTCACCGGAGCCCAGAGGTGGGAGAAAGGAGCGGGGGTGCTGATGAGGGCTCAGCGTGCGTTGACCAATAGAATGGACAAATGGGGCAGCAGCAGCAGCCCGAGAAGCGGGAGGAGAGGGTTGGTGGAGGCAGTCTGGCTTCTGAACCTCGTGGAACCAAATCGGTTGCTATTGAGGAAGAATAAATCCTTGCCCGGTTATCGGCAGAAGAGCAAATCCTCGACAGCACAGTCGTAGGCACAGAGAAGACAAAGACCCACCACCACCCACCCCCCGAACCCCCATTATAGCCTTCAGACTTTTGGGGCACCATTGAATTGTGAGAAGACACCATCCCACTCAGAGCCACACACTCACGAGTAAGGTTTGCTTACAAGTGAACGTCCAGGAAAGCTTAAAATAAACGGTGACATCTCATTGTACATAAATTGACTTATTTAGAGCAAGTAGATTAAGTTAATGAAAACGGTTAATTATTCAGTCATTGTGCGACCACGTGGAGTGAGAGGACACAACAAATACTACACAAATAGATTAAGTGTTCCAATGAAGCACCCCCACACCCCTCAAATGAACACGTGTGAATTAGCAATTTGATGAAGGAATAATTTGGCTTAAATGGCATGGGCTTAACAGCCATATAAGATGCAAGCAAGAGTTGCCTGTGGTGGCTTACAAGCTGAATATACAAAGCAGATGCAGCACCAATACAAACTCAAGTCTTTTAGGTCACACCTAATCTGCGTAGAAAAGCAAGGGACAATAAGTAGCTTACATTTCTATATTTGACATCTTCACACAAATCTGTGAGCCACCTGTGGTACGAATACAGAGGCCAGCGGTTGAGGGGTAATTTCTCCACGCCTTGCAAGCCGAAGCACGCACCACAAAAGGCAGGCGATGATTTTAACGTTTGCAAACACTTGCATTCATCCGCACAAACCGCTCCACTCTGTCCTCCACGAACCCGGACCTGCCAACAAAACCACGGTGGGGATCCCTTTGCACCTCGGAGCCAAGCCGAGCGTTCGCGACGTTTGTGTTTGCGATCGCCAAGGCGTTCACCTAACGAGAACCGATGAAAGCGGATTCCATTGTTTTTGTCACCTTGTCACTTTGGTCAACTGTGCCGAGTGAAATTTAATTCGAGATTACGTGGAACGTAATGTCTGTGACATAACAAACCCCCTGCCCATCCAACGCATCCATCACCAAATGGGGCTCTAAAGGCTCTTCTCGAACTGTCAAACATAATCCAAGTTGCGCTCCCACCAGCGCCACTGCGCAAGTGGGCCGCGCGCAAAACCGACTCGCTCAACACCGCCGAAAGAACGATCGGCCCAAAAGCGAGAAAACAATAAAACGATGAAACTCCAAACGCCACTCAAATCGAGAGAAAGAAAAAAACGTTCCTCTCGTTCGATTCTGCCCCCACCCTGCAAAGGTACACGCGCTTCCACGTAACCTTAAACTCAACCCCAACACAGACCTACGCCGACGCGAGTGTGGACCAATCGCACACGTTCACACTGGAAGGGTAACCAGGCCGGCTGTGGCGATCGTCAAAACAGGGCACCCAAGCGGCGTTGACGCATTCCTGATCGACGCAGCCGGCTCGGATCGTTTCAACCGAGCCTGGGCTCGACTTGCACCGAGACACCCACCTGTGGTTCCGAGCATCCTCGCCACGATCTCTCAACAACAGCTCGGTGGCGAGCAGAATGAGCATATCCCAACAGCGACGAGCCAGTTTCTCGTCAATAATCCCCAGCACCTCCACAAACCCGGTACCCCACGTGCAACCCTTCCTTGCCGTGGTCAGGCTCTCCAGGGCCGCTTTCAGAACATAACAAACAAGGTCATCCAGGAGGTGGAACGAGAAACTTCCCAAGAAGTGTGAGGTGGGGGGAGAAGTCTGAAATTCCAGGTTTTTAATAGTTCCCTACAAAGCTATGTGTTTTCTCTTGAAATATAAAAAAACACAATTTTCAGGGTCTCAACAAGGGGGCTGATGATCCTTATCACACCGCTGAGGTCACGCGCCTGTCCCGGATGCCCCAACGGAGGGCAGACGGTGCATCTGCGACAACTCAAACCGTAAAAGCGGCAGACAGATGCAGGCTGCGATGCGTATTGTGGAGGAGGATTGGGAAGTGAGAACGCCGAACACTGCGGACGATGACGCCGTGGCCTGGCTCTGCCAAACACGTGCATACGCTACAAGAAGAATGAAGCCAGCCACGTACATCGACCACAGATGGGAACGCGTGGATACCTGCGGATTCCCCGTGGCAGACAAGGCCAAGAGAAGCAGCTCTAGCATGAGAGTCACGTGCGGTTACAGGACGTTAGAGCTGCTCAGGACTCGTGAAACACGGAGCAGGGAGTTGCACCAGCAATCCCCAACCGGAACGATTCACATATTCAAAGCACCCACGTTGGCCCGAATAAATTTTTTTAATGACGATTGGAGTATCGTAGTCCCTCAAATTTGGCAGGAGCCTCCTGGAAAAGAGTCACGAGACTCAGAGAGTATTTCCGGGGCAAACAGGAATGATGATGAAAATAAAAAAAGCAAAAGCCACAGAATGCTGGATAAAATGCCTGCGAGGGAGAACGATGGTTACTTAAACCCATGGTGGCTATTCTCGTGGCTGGCTCCAATGCGCTTGCTGCTCAGCAGAGGGCACATTTGAGCTACTTTTTCAACGACGTAATATTTAGGAGGTGAGGTTTCATTCCAAGACAAGATAAAGCAATTCTTTTCGGAGAATGCCAGGTTAATTGGAATCGTGTCAAATTAAGCCCAGCAGCAGAGCACTTGTGATTTTATGAGATGGGATGATTTCACAGACGTGCCTTCACTCCGCAGTTCAATCTGTACACGTAACCTTTGGCAATCCACTGCTGGATGAGAGCAACTCCACAGCATGGGGGTGGGGGGTTATTTGTCCATACTTCGCCACAGTTGTCACTGCGGATCGGTGGAGGAAAGCAGACTTGGGACCACGGAAGTATAGCACAACAGCTGCTGCTGTTGCTACACTGCCTCCTACTGGCAACATAGCCGCACAGCAGCCTGTAGCGCCCAACTAACGCGTGTGGTGGGCACACATCCTAAGCACTACCTAGGCTCAACCCCACATAGCATCCAATGTCTAATCAAACTGGACACTCTGTGCACAGCGAATTGGCCAGTTAAATAGAAGTGGGTCACAAACTGGAAGGCATCGCCTCAAACCACACATTTCTACAGCTGAAGAGCCACTTGCTGACCGTGGCCTCAGCAGGGTTCTAAGGGCCTCGACATATCGAGATTTGAAAAAGGGACAGAGATTGTTTTTATTTATTGTTTCTGGTATTTTAAAGGACGTTTCCCCCTGCCCCTCCCAACCACAATCACGAACCCTCAATCCCGATAAACACCGCAAGAATTCGAAACAAAGCAACTTGTAAGCGCTGTGTGTAAAAGTAAGCGTGTAAAAATGTATCAGTTAAAGCAAATTCTTATCCTCGTGATACACGCGGGGTAAGAATCGATTCCTGATATTTACAATCTATACCATCGGTAACCTATAATTTTATTGTAGGCTTGATAAATTTAGGAAAGCAAAATCTGTCGGATATATCTTTTATAAAAAACACATTTTTTCCTTACTGTAGAATACAGCTGTGCGCATTTGATAGAATAAGCACATACTTCAGGGAAAAAAATACTTTACCAGCCCAATAAAAAAACACCTTCACACAGCGTTGCTACCCCGAGCTCCGATGCTCACTGGTGCCAACAGCCCCCTAGTGGAACAAGCGATCTTGACAAAAGTAACAAAGGCACAGGAAGTACACACACACACACCTACCCGACATACACACCACGCCATAACACACACCCCCAACACATAACAACACACACCCCACACACACACACACCCCACACACACACACCCCACACACACACACCCCACACACACACCACACACACACCACACACACACCACACACACACCACACCCCACACACACACCGCACACCCCACACACCACACACACCCTACACACACACACACACCACACACCCCACACACACCCTACACACACACTACACACACACACCACACACACCCCACACACACACCCTACACACACACCCTACACACACACCCTACACACACACCACACCACTGCCGGTTACACTGGGAGTGGAACAACTGCCAGTGCAGGGAGCAGCAGGGCAGGGCCGTGAGCGTGGCGACTCACGTTCTCGATTACGAACGTCCACTCTTTGTCTTCAAACTCCTCGGCGTGAGGGTCCTGTCGGTCGCATGCAGGACACGCGCACACGGGCAACGCACGTTGTGTGTTTGTTGAACTTCCTTCGCACCATACGTAGCCAACCGTGCTAATAATGAGAGGTGCGGTTCGATTTAACCCACGAGGGATGACCAGGGCGAGCATTAGGCGCAGCCCTGTGTCTGCGTGGCGTCGGCGGCTTCGAGTGGCATGCAGCTGTCACGCTACAATTTTGTGGTCAGGCCGGGCCACTGTTTTTATGTTTTACCCAAGTTGATCACGGGATTTTTAGCCAAACAATGTATTAAACTACGACCATCCACGAGGTGTTCTTTATATTTGAAAGAAACAAATTGCTGAATAAAGTTCGGTTTGCATCACAAAAACCATTCGGCACCACGGCGGAACCCGATTGAAACTTTGAACATATTTAAAAGTATTGATAAGGAATGTGTACTCCCCCAACAATGCATTCATACGAATCGTATTGTTTCAGAGTTAAGCATTACCGTATTTTCCCGCATATAGCCCGCATACGCATATAACCCGCAGACGTATATACCCCGCAAAAATTGCGTTTTGTGTAAAACAAATTTCAGATAGCCCGCACCTCCATATACCCCGCATGCATTCATATATTTAACGTCCTTACCGCAGCTTAATTCCATATTAATACGAAGTTTACATTTGTAATACATTCCACTATCAATTGTTAACATTTTAATCATAACGTGCACAAAGAAAACAAACTAACCGGAAACGAGTGAACTTAAATAAATAAGTAACAAAAGTAAATATCCAATAAATAAGTAACACATAACTGGTAGATAAGTAAGTACAGTTTTAGCACTAGTAGATTGCGCACTGCGCAGATAATAGCGGCACTACGGTAACGCCATTGCCTCGCCCCCCACCTCTCTCCCCCCAGCTGCCCCACCCACCAACCCCCCCACCTCTCCCGTTACCGGTAAACAGTGCGCGCACTTCAAACATTATCGTTTAATTGCACAAACAATTAATTTAAAACGTGATAACATGTGCAATTTTAGTGCGAGTGGTTTATTCAGCAGTGCTTTAGTCAAAGGTAAGTGTTGCATAGTAAATAGTCCTACCATGAAAACATTTAACGAGTTATGACAAGTCACACGCGTAAAATATTTTTGGGATAGCCCGCACCTCCATATACTCCGTAGGGTCTTGTTTTGTTTGTAAAAAGTGGTATAACCCGCGGGTTATATGCGGGAAAATCAGGCTCAAGGACTGGCATGGCAAGGGCTCCAATTTCAATAAAGGGGGTGCACAGTGGGGGGGGGAGACGTGGTGCGGCGCTCACCTTGAACAGCGTGACGGTGATCTCGATGTTCTCGGGCACAGGCCACACCACCACACCACGGTACGTGTTCTTGATTCCGGGCTGCCAGCTGTGCGCCTACACGAGACACGGGACCATTCGGAGACCGCAACGAGCCATCGGCACTCCTAGAAACAATTTCACTTCGTACGGTGTCCAGATGCAATTACACAACTCCAGACGATATGCAAAACTAGAAATAAATTACATTTGGGTGGGGGGGGGGTTTGGGTTGGGGGCGGAAGAATAACCCAACACCAAGACGCAGCTCAGGAGGAATAACCAGGGCTCAGAACAGACAATGAGCCCCAGGGCCAGCCCCAGGGCCAGCCCCAGGGCCAGCCCCAGGGCCAGCCCCAGGGCCAGCCCCAGGGCCAGCCCCAGGGCCAGCCCCAGGACCAGCCCCAGGACCAGCCCCAGGACCAGCCCCAGGGCATCCACTGCCAGCACGTCACTACTTAACAAGCTCCTGGGGATCTGGCCATCACGGTACTGTTTACAGGGTCAGACCTAACACACAGCGCACAACCAGTAACTCGGGTGTTTTTTCTTATTCTGTTGAACCAGTGAGCGGATACCAGTTGCGGGGAAAATAATATATGTGAATATTATATTAATAAAAATCAGTAACAATAAATATTTGGCACAAAATAAATCGCATGAATTTACCACGTAAACTACTTATTTACGATGCAAGTTTCATCCTCGATGCCCCAAAATACCTAAAGCGGAGCTTCAAAAGCGTTGACCTGAATTAGGTTTTATTGGACGGGTTACTTTCAAGCGCCCCGAGGTGTAAACAAACTCTAGATACATTCTCCTCGGCAGAAACACAATTACGATAGGTCACAGACCTGCGATGAGACGGGGCATCAAAAACAATCACCGCAAGCCAGTCGAGGGAGACACTTACCCCTGCAGGTTATAAATAGCAGGGTGGTTGTGTGTGTGTGTGTGCGTGTAAAGAAATTGATTCGTAAATTTACGAGAGGCACCAGACCGACAAGGTCCGATTCCTGACATTAAATCACCACTGCTCATCACTAAAGAGCACCGGGCGAGATCGCAAAACGGACCGGAGGGCGCCGCGCTGCAGCAAGCGAGCCGGGTGCCGTGCTGCGAGCGATAAATCCCGCGGTGGAGTAGACGACACGACTGGACAAGGAGCACAACGGTGCGAACATCGAGAGACAAAAAAATAATAACGCGGCCTCGCATCACGACGACGCCGCCGCCGCCGCGAGGGCCCTCGTGGGAGAAGTAGCGCCACTTCTCGATGGCCTCTTGAGGCTGTCGGCGCTGCACACACGCGCCACGAACTCCGGCGTCGCGGCCGTCCCCTTATCGCCGCGGACGGTGTTCGAGCGGCGCCGGTGCCGCGACGGGCGGGCTCCCACGCCAGCAGGCACGGCGGAAATACGGGGATGTGCGGCACTCATGAAATAACTCTCGTCTAACAGAATTAACGACGGCCGACTCTGCACCTGACAGGCCTCTACGGTATCAGTGGCCGACGCGAACATCGGTGAAACTAGCACAGCGTAATTTAGTTACGTCGATTGGTATTCATTTGTGCATTATCTCTGTAATGTGCTTGAACGTATCGAGTGGTTGTCAATTGGATAGCCTCTTAACAGGCCGCATGGTAAGTGTTACACATTGCCATTCACCCCTCTGGGTATTTTAAAGCGATAAGGCCACTGCCAGAAACATCACAGGCGATTTTGTACTGTGCTATTAGGCCATGCGCGTTAATGACGACGGTGGTGAGGTCACTTAAGCCTAATGAAGAAGGGAAATGTTTCCTTCCTTCAACCCCGAAAGCAAGCTACCCCTAACACCGGCGCCACACATCACCTATAAGAGCAGACGCAGGCATCGCGTAAATTAGAGATTTAGTGCGGCACGTGGCCTTTGAAAGGTGGATAGCTTCGCGTTCACCGTCAAGTTGAGAAATTGAGCGCGTTTAACGATTTTCAACTAAAGTGTCTGGTGGTGTAAGAGGGGCCAGCGGTTTACTGCCTCTTCCCTATACCCTCCATTCGAGGAGCTGACACTTGGGACATCCTCGGCTGGGGAGAGCCTACTTGTGATTTGTTACAATTATTTGTTAAAACTATTTGTTAAAATAATGTGGCTGGTCAAAGGATGGGCGTGACAGCATCGAGGTGGAGTCAGCTGTGCGCGGGGTGGGGGCGGTGGCTGTTTTATTGTGATCGCACGAGGCGCAGAAAACAAAAGCACCGCGGGCTCATCACGTTCGCAAGCGTCGTACGCTTTCCCGCGCGCAAGTACAAAACAACACAGTTGGGAGCACAACGAATCACGGACACCAGGATTCACCGTACAAATTATAAACGTCCCCGTTAGCAATGGATCGAGCCAGGTGGCGCTGTGGCGTGAGCACCGGAAATGAAATCGCAATCAAAAGGTCGGCAGTTCAAAATCGCAGTTGGATGGGGGGGGGGGGGGTTGACTCAGTGCCACATTCGTCTGGGAGAAGATAAAATCAGTAGCACTTCACAGGAAATCAAAATAGTGGTCGCCCCATAGGGTGGGGATCAGCCATGACCGCGAGTGTGTAGAATGTCCACCACGGAGATGATCGCTGCCCAATGTCTCACAACAAACCTCGGGGCCAGCGATGTCTTAATTTTGCGACACAAAAAGGAAAGTTGGTTTGCGAACTTCCGACACCTGGGACATGCCCTCTGAAAGCATAAAACCGTAACACCCCGAATCACGCACGCTCTCTGCTGTAACAGCTGGCACAAGTCCCCCCACGGAAGGAATCGAGGGCCACACAGTGACTTGGCTGCGGATGTGCTCGGGCCGTGAATCACCGCCCTGAATAAACCACCGCGCGCATTGCGGACAGACGCCCTTGAAAGTCCAGCCTCGCTCTCGGCCAGGACGAGCGGCCCCAGGGGATCGTATGTGCGTGTTCGGCATGGAGCTTTGCGTTCCCTTCATATACGGGGGTTACGGCGGGGGAGGGGAGGAGTTAGGCTTAGGGTTGACCGGGGGGTAGGCACTTTGGGTGTGCAGCACACGCAAAACTGGAACCAATGGAGTGAAGGAGAGAACACGAGTTAATGATACAACATTTTAAAAAAAAAGGCAGCCTCCCAAACGAAATTTACCGTCGCAGATGCACGCACTTAAAGCGATAACTGGTTGCACAAGTGGCAGGAGAATGCGCACTAACGGAGCCACCTCGCATGTCGATCGAGCGAGAAGCAGCGAAACCTTAAAACGGATGCACGGTGGAACGCTACGATTACAAAAATGAAAACGAGGAGAGCACCGCCAACCAGCAGCGCACAAAGGTTCCGCTCACCTTGGACGACTTGCGCCGAGACCTGCGCGTCCACACCACCACGAGCTTGTCGGGCTGCCTGCGGGAACACCAACCACACGGCACTTAGCCAACCTGGGCCTCCGCGGCACAGACACGCCGCGCGAAGCGGCATCGCGACGTGGGAAGGGGTACACGGGGCATGCAGCGATAGCCTCCACGTGGAAGGCACGCGCGCTCGCTGTACAAACAAGCGGGCAGGCGTCTACAATGCCCATACCAACAGGTACTTATGTCAAGCAAAAATAGAACATTAGGCAAGGATTGCTGCTGGCAGAATTATTTCCTGCTGCATGCAAACTGGCTTACCAATTTAAAAAAACTTCTTTTCCAGAAGATTATTTTTAAAGTTTCATTAGGTGTGACATTTTCAGCAGAGTTGTACATTGTGTAACTGCTCAAAGTCACGTGACATATTTCTCACATCGACCGACTCTCGCGTATTTGGCTTCACTTCTTTTGACGGAGACAATTGAATAATGAGCTCCTGCATTTACGAGCTGCTCCCTGTGGAGTTTGTGGCTCACTATGAGGTCTGTACTGAGTGGTCAGAAAACGTGCTTCCAGGAGCAAATGCAGCCTCATGTTCCGCGGGCTTAACGATGACAAATGCACTCGTAAACTCAAACAGTTTACGTCAAACACACAGGAGTGTTGGCGTCATTCACCCGGTTTTCAAACAAATGACCGCGGACATCATTCATTATGGCACTGCAGGTGTAACGCATCACAAATCACACCAGTGCACAACGGAAAAAGCACCTCCATGTAATTAATTAATTCAATTATAACAATAATTCCTTCGTTGAAGAAAAGCGGCCATGGACGGACGACAACCAAAAAAACAAATAAGACTCCGAGAAATGTTCTATCAGCACCTGCCACAAACGACACAGCGGCAAGCCAGCAGCCCTATCGACCGTTCCACGGTTACACGCGCACAGCGCCTCGTGTCGCTATCGCGGCTCACGAATCAGCGGAACGACACTACGATGAATCGGCCGCACGCACCGGCCTGGGTTTTACCGCCCGCCCGCGTAGTCCATGTACAGGTGCGGCGTACGGATCCGACGTGGCGTGTGGTTGAGCGAAGCCATAAATCACCGCGCGCCAGTCACGCTTGTCACGTGCGCACAGCGAAACCAGGCTCCGCACACTCGACTAAGTCGAGGTGGAGTCAGGGTTAAGCCCTGCGATTGACAGCAAGCCGTGGCTTTCATCTGCAATTTTTAAAGCAATTGCTGTACGTCTACAAAACACAACCCCCAAAGCGCCGGTGACCTTTAATTTGTCATCTTTAATTTTGCGAGAAAAACTTGGAAAACCATGGTAATGTGCGGAGTTATCCCCCTTGCTATTTAATGCATGCCAAGCTTTCCTAATTTACGACAGAGGCACATGGCAACGCCGCGGTGTCCGCGCCATCTGCTTCATGAGAGACGGCGCACTTTGGCATCTCCCAAAACATGAATTTCGGAGGCAGCTGCAGGGAATCGACCCACCGTCGACTCCTCACGCTCCGTTCCAGCGGCGAACGTGCCGATACGGCGAGGCAAAATTCCTAAACGGGCGAACAGATTCGTCCGGAAGCTTCCAAACTTAGACAGCGAGAGAGCTCTGGCAAGAGGGAAAGAAATATTATCCGACTTACACGCTCACGTGGCCCAAACGTATAAAAATAACAAAGCAAGGCAATTGACAGCTGTCACCTTTAAATTAACGCAAGGCATTTGAATCCATTAACGGCACCGACAGGGATAACAAAATGTGGTAAACTTGGGACTGGGCTCGTGTTTAAGACAAGTGGGAATTTAAATCAGAACCGCAGGTGTTCAAATCGCAAAGCTGATCAGACCTCGGTTTACGTGACACCGCAGTGACCGGAATGGAAACGGTGATGCAGCAAATATTGACACCACCATCCCTGCCTCATCACCCACGTGTTGCTCGTTCCAGGCCAAGTTACGTGCCACACTTCACTTTTTATAACCACAACTAGGGAATATAATCTCGGACGCGCCACACACCTGCCAGCCGATGAGTCACACTCAGGGAGACCAGTGACGTACAAACACACGGCCAAGTTCGCCGCTCACCGGCTCTTTATAGTTTCTGTAGCCAATACTTTCCACCCACGCATCTCCCTTTGACACCACACAAGTGAACCAATGTGAGCGAGTTCAGGCCCCTCTCCCGGGGGGGGGGGGGGGGGGGGGGCAAACTCCAGAGTCACTGTGGCCAACATCCCCCAGTAATATTCAAGAGGGCGGAGAGAAGTCTGGGCACGAAACATGTCCTCCAATAATTCTATTAATTCCCAAGAATTGATTCCAGAAAACAATCTGTTTTGTTTCAACTTTACGATCTCATTTTACGTCGTCCACTTCGTTTGGGCTATCTCCCTCGTCTCTACTGCTCGTGTGCGTCTGTATTGTGCTGTTCCTTAGTACTGTCTGCGCACTCTCGTTTGTGCTGTCTCGATGGTACCATGTTATCTGTACTCCGTTGTCCTCCTCGGTTGAGTTTGCACTGCCCTGTTCATTCCAACCATTAGTTTGAATGAAAACAGTCTTTCATGCCAGTTTCGTGAGAATAAAAATCTATTACAAAATCGACGAATTGTCACGTGCGTCCTTAACAGCACAGGGCAGGACGCCAACGGCCCTTACCTACAACCACCACGGCCGCAATTTCACGTTCGCCATTTTGGAACAATCATTTTAAGAGGTTCACGCTGCACGGCTCTCCTCGGCAAGTTGGGACAAGAAACCAACTCTCGAGTCCCCACCAAACAAGCGACGGAAATATTTCCTTTGGGATTTACGTTATTGAATTGAGGCGGCAGAGAAGAAATAACAATTCCGTGCGTCAAAGAAGCCACCGGAAGCATTTCAATGCAATGAGCAAGAGCGCCGATCCTTTCCCCCACACCGAGCAGACTCATGTGAGAACTATCGGGAACTCGGCAGAGCATCTTGCTTGAAGGCCTTTTGTGGCAGCGGGTTGCAAATGTTACTCATCTGGAATGCGGGCCGTTATGATAAGTGCGCCCGCACGCATCGGTTCTGTCATGCGACACGTGCGAGCGTGCGAGCGTAGCTCTGCGCACCATTTCGCACGAGGAAGAAGAACAAGAAGGAGGAGAAACGGCGCCCCTCGACGCGCCGCGTGGTGGAGATGTTGCAGAAAAGCCACGATGGTGGGATTCTGACTGGGAGAGGCCAAGCATTCGTCGGGCGAGCAAGTCCTCCTGGCTGCAGCTCTCACGGCCCCGAAGGAGAACCCCGCAAAGTCCGGCGAAGATTCCCCCCACGACATTTTCAAGAGGATGCAGTATTTCGCAACATGACAATTAACGGAGAGCGTTAGCGACGAGGCGGGCGGGGAGGGTGGGAGAGATGACTTCTTCCCCCCCCCCCCCCCCCCCCAGAGGTATTTATCCCACGGGCAAATCCCACCACAAGCGAGCCATAGGACGGGAGGAGTTTGTGAGCGACGAGCAGAGCCGCAGAAGAAGCGCAAAGCGCCCCGTTGGGGTACAAAGTGACGAACGAGTGAGCGAGCAAGCGATCTGGGCCCCGCATCGCTCACATAGTTTGTGCTCCCGGGTGCAGCACAAGCCCAGAGCGAGGCCGCCATTAACGAGTACGGACCGTATTTTATTTAAAACGCCACGGCGGCCCGGCGTTCACAAAGGCGATCTTTGTGTGGTGTTCTTTACTCATTTAGAGTCGGTTACTTATTTTGCTTTGACCCCCCCCCCCCAGCACAGAGCCTTGTTTAAATTAACCTCTACGCTTTATGGCACGCACTGCGAGCCAGGGTTCATTGGCAAGCTTGGGAGGCATTCGTGGCGCGCTACAGAATTTAAATGCGACCCCCTTTCTAGCAGGGGGGGTGGAGGCAGAATGGGTCAACTCTATCCTTTGCTTGCGTTGGCTCCGCAGTGCCGCGCACGTGCAGGAGATATCGCCCTGCGGAGGACGCAGATTGGCGTCGGTGTCGGCGCAGTGTGCGAGCGTCCCAGCGAAAATTTGACATGGACCAAAACCAAACGCACGACAACACTGCTAATTATGCGCGTGGTTGCACGGCTTAAGGTCTCTACGGTTTAATTATTTATCGACTTCCTTTGCACAATTCATCTCCGTGTAACCTACAGGGATGCACAAGCCCCGCGTACACGCCGCGCATGCATCATATATGCCGCAGGATGCAGCAACATAACACAAACTCGGACGTCATCCGGTATAAAAGAGTTTGCGCGAATAAAACCACGCTGCGCGATGTTACGGCGAGATGCCGCAGGCGACCAGGTGACGGCGCTCGAAACACGATCTTTATTTCGAGCTTCTTTCGCACCGTACGTAGCCAACCGTGCTAATCGGAGGTGCGAAGCAAGGACAACAAACTAAACACAAAGACCTATTCGAAAGAAATGAGTTTTCAATCTACATGATTTAAAAGTACATAGCTCCAGTGGCTTCCTAATATCAGAAGAGCATTCCAGACGGTCACAGAAGCGCATCTGAAAGCACGCGATGCGGTGACCGTCTTTGTTCGATGGTTAGCCCAAAAGCCGCTGCGAGGATGACCTAAGTTTGCTTGATGGTTCAAGCTCCATTTGTATTACCCTTATTTGTTCAAGAAAAATGAGAAAGAGAAACCCAAATTGTCACAGACGTGCCCTCCTATTGCTTCAACACAGCACACTAGAAAGTTTATCTGTGTACAAACAAAAAAGTGAAGCAAATGAATGCAACTCAAAAAGGTTAGAAAGTTCAATTATTTTAAAATCGAGGTGGTCAACCGGCTCAGAGGTCAGAGTGCTGTCCGTGCACTGCTGACATCCTGCTTTCAAATCCATATTTCAGCTGCCTGTGATTAAACCTGGTTCTCAAGTTTAGCGAGTTAGCGGTCTCAGCCCGGTCAATAACTGCATAAAATCCCATTGCAATAATTCTAGATTTGAAGCTTTCGTGACTGCAAGGATTCATACTCGTTGTTTTTTTGGTAAAGTCACGTAGGTAAAATAAAATA